GCTGCGGTGGCGGCGGAGCCACGGACTCCAGGAGACGACCAGGAGGCGGTTGAGCCATTGTTCTCGTTGGGTCCCACCGAAACAAGCAACCTTCTGGATCCATCTCTCTCTCTCTAAGCAGTGGAGCGACTTCTATGCAAATATAACAGTCAGGAGACTGTATATAAATACTAGGTTGGTCCTTATTTCTATTATTATATTTTATGTTTTCATAATAAAATCTACTGTGTATCATGTATATACTGCATATGTATGCGTGTGTGTGTATATGTGTATGTGACGAGGCCGATTTGTTTTCGGTGGAAAACGACAGTTGGAACTGGACGAGTCAAACTTTTTGGTCGACATTCTTTACACTTCTCTTATTTTAGCCAATCACATGTTGACACGTAAGGACATTGAATGATTAGGATTTTTACTGGTCATGATCCCGCCCCCCTTCCCTTTTTTTTTTTTTTAAATTTATTTGTATTGCTTACCTTGAATTCTCTACAAAACATTAATCGTATTTACTAAACAATGAAGATATTGTTTAGGAAATACAAATAGCTATTTATTTATTTATTTTAAATAACCATTGATAATAGGAAAACGATTTATAATCTGTATTTTTATTTTGTGTAAATGAAAATGCGAACCCCCAATAACAGATATGTGTACAGTCTAGATCTAATCCCACGAATTTGGGGGCTAATCGATCCTATAACGGTCCTTTTGCGTCGTCATTTCACTTTATTCTCTTTAATTAAAATACGCATCGACAAACCAGAAATTTAAATTAAAATTAAAATACTCCATGATTATTATTTCCATACTTATCTGATTCAAAAAGACGCAATTTTGATGAAAACAAAATTTGTACCAATAAATAAACAATACTAATTCTCAAATCTTTTTTATTCGGTGAAACTTCAATTTAAGTCCGTTTCATTGAATTCAGACGAGTTTTTAAAACTAATTCTTAATACTTGTAGAAATACAAAGAAACTTCGTCTCCATTGCTGTTGCAACTAGGGTTTTTGTTTTTGAATTTTTGTTTGATTTTATTTAAATTAGGAAAGTATTTAGGTCGCTCTCAATTTTTTTTTAAAAAATATTGTATTTAATTCGTTTTTAATTATTTTCGTATTCCATTAAAAATTAAGTTTGATTAAAAATATTCTCAAATAGTGTCCATTAATATTCAAGTTTTTCAATTTTTAAAAAACATTATCGAGTAATTTTTATATAAAATTCGATTAGAATGTATTATATATTATTATATTATTTGATTTGAGCATCGTGATAAATGATAATAAGCAAATTAACAATTAGGCATTTTTGGGTTAAGAGAAAAGATGCAGCCAATGAGAAAACGACAGATCATATCACAGTCCTGAGAACCTGCCATCCTATTGGCCTCTCTCTGCTATTTTGTCTCTCTCTCTCTCTCTCTCTCTCTCTCTCTCTCTCTCTCTCTCTCTCTCTCTCTCTCTCTCTCTCTCTCTCTCTCTCTCCTTTGTCCATTTCCTCCCTCATCCTCTGTACTATTTCATTGTTTTTTTTATCGGAAGACATTTAATATTAAATGTAATAAAAAAAATTCCGTATTACAAATAGTTAAATCTATGATTTTTTTGTGTGCGTTTTATTGAAAACATTTGCAGTAAATAAACAATATTAGTGTAAGTATCTTTATCGGTCGATGTAAATAGGAAAACAATGTTGGATTGAGCTTTGATATTGTTTATTATATATTCAATGAATTTTTCTCATTAAACTATTTTAAAAATATTTAAGTAATTTTAGGTCAGATTAAAATTTACGGTCGAGTAATTGTTCTAAAAGATTTGATTTTTTCTGTCTATTTTATCACATTTTTTTTTAAAAAAAACAAATGGTGAGTTAATAATTTTTTTTTTCTTGTAATGGACGGGCAGCCTTTAAACGCGATGATAAACCTCCGATTTCACGTAATAATATGTAAACCATGTGGAATAGATAAATCATCTAAAGGGTGATATGTTCGCTAAAGAGTGGAATGGTACCATAATTTTTTGAAGAATCATAATTTTTTGAAGAATTATGGATTGTTTAATCGAGGGCGCTAATATTACGATTCTACAATGGATAGATATGTTATTCGAAATTCAATATTTATAAGGTGTATTCCTATAATAGAATTAGGTAGTGATAAATTAAACACTGTAATAAAACTAATTATTAATTACTTGCATTACTAAAGATCCTTATAAAAAAAACATAATGCATAATTTTGCGTTTAATTGGTTCTTAATTATCTAAAATAAAAATCTAATCCAAGGCAGGCTAGCCGACAACATATCTTATGAGGCCCAACTAACATATCTTATTAGGCCCATTTTTACTGGACTCTTGATGGGCCTTGAGGTCTACATCCGTACCGTTTGATTAATATAACATGTTTTTTTTAATTAGAATGATATTAAATTATGTTTGATCTAAATATTTAAATTTTATAGGTAAAAGAATACGTAATTATTTTTTGTATTAAACCTTCAATTTCAGGTCACAACTTTCTATATGGTAATCATGGTAAAAAAAATAATATACGGGTTTCACTTAAGCCGGTTACAATATTATTCTAAATTAAAATTAACATATATGTTTTAATGAAAAATCTATAAGATTGGTTAGGGTTTGATATTCTAAATTATAATTTCTGAAACCAATAAAAAAAAATATAACTATAGTCAGATCAAATTAAATCCAAAAAATTGATTAGAAATATATATTTTTAAAGTTGAATTAATATGTATAATATATAAAAATGGATAAAAATAAAATTATTTAAAAAAAGTTGATATTTAAAAAAATATTAAAAAATCACACTAAAATAAATCAAATAATAAACAGACTGAAAAATTAAAATAAAAAGATTAATATAAATAAAAATTGGAAAACACGAGAAATATTTTGCCGATAAGTCCACCGACTTTCCCATCCTCGTCTGCGTTATAATATCATGTCGCCTCTAAAAGCTGGCGGAAATATTTTACAAATATTTAAACGACGTCGCATTAGCAGCCCCACGACCCCGCGGATCTTCTTCTTCCTCTGTTCTTCGAACCTGTCGAATGAATGCTCCGCATGTGATCCAGGAATCAGAGGGAAAGAACAAAGCCATTTCTCCCTACTTTATGTCCGTTTCGAAGCTCCGATTTCAAAGGAACTGTTCTAGCAATTGCTTTTTCTTCTGATATTTCTACCGTGTAATTCACGTAGATCTTCAAATACTTATGTTCTCTTCGGCGATTCTGCGGTTTTTGTGACTTTTGAGGGTTTTGATATGTCGTCGAAGCTAAATTGTGGGAGAGATATGAAATTTTCGAGCTGGGGTTTGCTCTTCCTTGTTTGCAACATATTCTTCTCGAGGGTTTCTGCTTTCCGTCTCAGTCGGAGTCAACCGACCGAGCGAATTTCAGGTGAGTTCTTCTGTCTCCTCTGTGATTTCATGATTTATTAGGGTTTTTGGCTGTTTTTACTTGGGATTAAGGAGTTTGCTTGTCGGGGATTTTCTGTAATGGGTGGTGGGTCATCGAGCTCGATCGCTAGTCGGTTGTGGACTAGGGTTTTGTGAGGGGATTTCTCGTTGGCGTTTTCCTGATCCCCTTTCGAATTATAATCGAATCTGTATCTGACTATCCGGATGTCTACCGATTTTGGGGATTTGTTTCGACGACAAGCTTATAACATTCATGTTTCTGTCGATCGATCCATAATTTGAAGAATTTGCAGAAAATAGCTCAATGAGCTAATGATGGTAAACCCGCAGAATTCGGGGATTTAGAGTTGTGTTTTGTCCATCATATATTGGTTTCCAAGTTCGGTAACTATGATATCAGCTTAAATTAGCTTTCATTATCCATAACTTCGGATGATAGTTTCAGTGTTTTGAACTATGAACTGGATCATGTCATCTTCATCGTGTGTTCTGTTGATTCTGATGCTTAGGTAGTGCTGGTGATGTGCTGGAAGATGATCCTGTCGGAAGACTGAAAGTCTTCGTCTATGAGCTTCCAAGCAAATACAACAAGAAGATACTTCAGAAGGACCCGAGATGTCTCAACCACATGTTTGCTGCCGAGATCTATATGCATCGGTTTCTCTTGTCCAGTCCAGTTCGAACACTTAATCCCGAAGAAGCCGATTGGTTCTATGTTCCTGTCTACACGACCTGCGATCTCACACCCAATGGGCTTCCACTTCCGTTCAAATCACCTCGTATGATGAGAAGTGCCATTCAGCTTATTGCTTCCAACTGGCCTTACTGGAATCGCACGGAAGGAGCAGATCACTTCTTTGTTGTGCCCCATGACTTTGGAGCTTGCTTCCATTATCAAGTAAGCAAAACATCTGCTTCAATCTCTCAAGATCCTCCTCAATTAATCCTCAATTTTCATACTGAACGGTTGTTACTTGTGTTTCATCATGATCTCATGTTAGGTACTAGTGTTATACAGTTAGTGCCCAAGAATCTTAACGCCTCCATAGTCATATTACTACTCTTCAAAAATATTAATCTGCTTGATATTCACATCCCCCTTTTGATGTAGAAAAAGTTGTTATTCGAGCACAAACAATACATTTAGAGTAATCTAAAGAGTAAAGACCCCCGGGCTGTACCGTTAACATTTCTTGATCCATACACATCGATCTGTTGTTTGTGTGTGTGGCAGGAAGAGAAGGCTATAGAAAGAGGAATTTTGCCCTTGCTTCAACGGGCAACACTGGTGCAGACATTTGGGCAAAGGAATCATGTTTGCTTGAAAGAGAGTTCAATTACAGTTCCTCCATATGCTCCACCACAGAAGATGCAATCCCACTTGATTCCTGAAAAAACTCCTCGGTCCATCTTTGTTTACTTCAGAGGGTTATTTTATGATGTCGGGAATGACCCTGAGGGTGGTTACTACGCCAGGTAATTTCATTATAGGTTTAACTGCTACATTCCAAAGAATCTTCAAAATTTCCAATGTTTGATATCCCAGCTATATTCATCAAATTGCTGCATACACAAGTTGGAATATGGTAACAGTGAGACGATGCCTGAACTGTTCTGGACATGTCAATAATACAGATAGAAGCACGTTCGCATTGTTACATTCGCGATGTTGCATGCATCTGCATAGTTTCATATTTGTATGTGATACGTTTAGATGCAACGACTTGTGCTTGCGCCCACTCTCCTGTAAACAACTTTACCCGATATTTATACCATGAATATGTATCAGCGTCTCTATGTATACTTTATATATTATAAGAATTGGCTGTATGTGTCAGCAATACAAGCTAATTATGAAGAAATATACAACTGATATTCACTATATACACTAATAAATGACGAGATTTCGCTTGTCGAATGTGCAGGGGAGCAAGAGCAGCCGTGTGGGAGAACTTCAAGGACAACCCTCTATTCGATATCTCGACAGAACACCCGACAACTTACTACGAGGACATGCAGAGGGCAATCTTCTGCCTATGCCCACTTGGATGGGCCCCTTGGAGTCCGAGGCTGGTGGAAGCCGTGATCTTCGGGTGCATCCCCGTGATCATAGCTGACGATATCGTCTTACCATTTGCAGACGCAATCCCGTGGGAAGAGATCGGAGTGTATGTGGACGAGAAGGATGTCCCGAACTTGGACACGATACTGACATCGATCCCACCGGAGGTGATATTGAGGAAGCAGAGGTTACTGGCTAACCCGTCGATGAAACAAGCGATGCTGTTCCCGCAGCCGGCTCAACCAGGGGATGCGTTCCATCAGGTGCTGAATGGATTGGCTCGTAAGTTGCCTCATGACAGGAGCGTGTATCTGAGACCGAGTGAGAAGGTGTTGAACTGGACAGCCGGTCCGGTCGGTGATCTGAAACCTTGGTAACTATTTACTCAGGTTTTGTCTTTCTGATGGGAAATAGAACCATTGAGTCTTGAAATGGGTTTGAAGGTAGAGGATGAAATGTAAAAATAGGACTACCAAGGGGAGGATCCTTTGCTTTGACATTTTGTATGGTACATTACATTCTCCATTTCCTCTTATTCAATCAGCGGCTTTTGTTTCCTATGCCAAGACTTTCAATTTCCCTTTATACCCGGTTAATTGTTTTTAAAGTATGATTGGTCAGTAAAATGAAATAAATCAAATATAATTATATGGGAATGGAACATTTAAAATTTAATTTTATAACTAATTGGATCTATTTTAAAATTGAGAGGAATACAAGTTCTTAAGAAAAGAGAAGATAATTTGGATTTGAATAAAATTTAAATCGAATAGAAAATTCAAAATAATTGATGAGTATGTGAATTGAGAGGAATACAAGTTTTTATTGATTATTTGGTTTAATTTTATATTGTTTAATATTTTTTATACGGGTACGGGTATTCACGGGTACCCGTCTTTTAGTTATGGGTACCCGTTGGACGGGTACCCAGATATTATAAGATAGAGACAGAAATAGTATTTCTCTGAAACCCGCGAAGACGAAAACGAAGATGGATATCTCCAAAAACGCGGGTACCCGATCCGTGCCCAGCCCTACCGTGACCATCGTATGCGAAATATGAGATGGTAGAAGTGCCAAACGTACTTTTTTGGTAACTACGTGCCAAACAACGTCTACCACTCGAAATTGATTTCTTATATTCCACAGTCTGAAAACTATGGTCCACACTCTTCAAATCTTTTCATTAAAAAAAAAAACTTATGCATTATTGATTTGTCGATTATTTTTGTTTTTTTTTCCCGATTAAGTTCTGTTCATACTTGTAATTCAAGAAAATTTTAGCTATTGTTCAACGAGAATACTAAAATATGATTCGATTTACATATTCTCAAAGTTTTTTTTTTCATAAATTAATTTAAGTACACCACTTTAATAAAAAAAAACCTAATTTATCTAAATTTATTTTGGATTTGTAGCTTTTTTATCATGATAAGATAGATTGTTCTATTTTTTTTTTTCTATATATCATCCATATACATACAGTTTTTCATTCTCTATGTATTAGAGTTTGACGGATGAAAAGAGTTAGATGAGACAAGGGTGATAGTGTATCGTCATCGATGATTCAAATATTTGATGCTTGTAAATATCAGGGATATTATGAAATATAATGATATGTGCCCATATTATATGAAAATTATAAATTTGGGATATGGTTCTGAACTTCAGAATCCGAATCACTCATACTTCAATTCTTGAATCCGAGTTTAAGTAAATTGATATAATGTGATTTAAAATTTTTATGGATAAAATCTCATCGTTAATAAATAGATTTTAATAACTTCATGCCTTATATGTATATAGACACTCTGTGGTAGAATAAATAAATAAATAATTAAACAAACACAAGTTTAATTATTTGTCAAACTCCAGATCGCCAAAACCTAGAGTGTTGATAAAGATAAACAATACAAATACCATACAAATCAACTTTGCGACGTTCACATGTGGGTGACGCTGATTCATTGAATTAGCGAATGTTTTACTAAAAATTAAATTAAAAAAATCACATTACACATAAATAAATGCATTAGGTAAAAAAAAATAAACTTGTGAGTAAATATAATAAAGTCTTTTGGAGGTAAAATAAACTTGTGAGTAAATATAATAAAGCCTTTTGGAGAATAATTACCAAATTAATGTAGAGAGACTGTACATAAAACGTATTACTTTTTATTAAAACGATCGAACAAAATATGAAATGTTAAAAACAATGGAAAATTCAATAAATATTAAATATACCACAATTTATCTAAATGTACAGTATAAATACCTCAATTTCTAGTTTGCTAAATAAATATCTCAATTTCTACCAAATATAAATACATAATTTTTAAGTTGTTAAATAAATGACGCAATTTAATCAATTTGTACCAAATAGATAACAAATGGATTATATAGTTAATCGACAATTAAATCAATTTGTGTCGAATAAATATTAGATTACTATTGATTTGCTAAATATCATATTGGTATTGATTTGATACAAAATGGTCATTGTGGTATTTATTAATCAATTTTAAAAATAAAGTATTTATTTGGCAAATTTAGACAAATCATGCTATTGTGACGTTTTTTTTCCTAAAAATAATTATTTAAAACGTGAAAACTTTACTTCAAAAGTTTAGAAGTCAATCCAGGAGAGATCATCTTTGGAAAAAGAGGGGATACGGATACCGGGTTCATGACGGAAGCGGTGACGCCACCTATTACACGTGGCACAAACCCATCACTGCTCCCGTTTTCTGGCCCCCTCACGTTTGCGCCCATTCATAAATAGAGGTCATGTCGAATCATGAGCATATCTCGTAAGAAAGCGGGAAATCGTTTCGTTATCTCGGTACGCTCTCATTCATCTATTACTTGGTGATTTCTGTGATGTTTTTTGGTAATTTTCTGAGTCTGAGTTTATACGATTGGATCAAACCTTTGGTTTAGACTCTGCGCTTGCGGCGTGAGAAATTTGAATTCCTGCGCACGTGAGATGATAATATCTGAGGATTATTTGAAATGGGTTTGATTCCGATTTAGCTGTTTTGGACTGTTTTCTGAGTGTTTGTGTCGGAGATTATATGTATGTTTCTGATTGAATTAGGGTTCATGTGTTCTGCAGTAGGGTTCATAGCTAGAAAAGCCCTTTTTAGTTACCCGAGTTCGATTACTTGTGCAAAGTGTCCTAATCTATGGCAAAGAACCACTTTGCCATTGGTTTCATACTTTTCATTAAGCCTAAGTTGTTCATGTAGATGACAAGTTATTGCCTAGAATGCTCCTCCTCTGGATCTGTTATGTTGTTTCTGAGGGATTTCGGCCTAGAAATGATACTTCTGGTTCTAGGGCAAACACAAGAACATCTTAACCGTGATGTCGAATTATGTTTTCTGGATTATATGAGCAGTACCATGAATGAGTATGACCTTTTTTTTTTTGCTGGATGAAATGAAGTTTCATCTCTGTAATGAGCTCGGAAAACTGTCTTGCTTACAGGAGAGAATGATGGGTTGCCTTGGTAGATATTTGATCTTCTCCTTAGGTCTTCTTCTGGTAGCTGCGGGCATATCCCCAGGACACGGAAAGAAGATAAAGTCTGCAGTTTTCTTATCACCCAAACTGGTTTTGAGTCCAGGTTCAGTGGTGAATGAATATTATCATAATATCGATTTCCCAAGAGGGCATATCGGTCTCAAGCGTTTTGATGCTGAAGTGGTTGACGAGGCAGGCAACCCAGTTCCTCTTCACGAGACTTATCTTCATCACTGGATCATTCAACCGTACTATGCCCGTAAAGGTGTGGAACTTTCAGAACAAGATCTTCGCAAAAATCTCGGGTTCTCTGGACAAGATTCTCATAGAAATCTCGAGAGTGGATCAGAACCAGATTTTATACTTGTGAAAAATGGAGGGTTGTGCCGGAACACCCTTAGACATTACTTTGGGCTCGGATCAGAAACTCGGAAGACCTCAACACATGTTCCTGACCCATATGGAATAGAAATTGGTAATCCTGAAGAAATACCCGATGGGTACGAATTCCGCTGGCTTCTCAACACTCATGCAATAGATACAAGGGGAGTGGAAGACAGGTTAGGATGCACTGAATGCCGGTGTGATCTGTATAATATCACAGTTGACGAATATGGTAGGCCTATTACCTCTGATTACAAAGGAGGCTTGCTGTGTTGCTATGATAAAACGCAATGCCGGGTGAGAAAGGGTTTTGATAATGGAAGGACAAGAACCTTGTATTTGAAGTATACTGTCACATGGGTTGATTGGGACAGTTCGGTTCTTCCCGTTACCATCTATATTCTCGACATAACCGATTCTTGGAAAAAAACGAAGGGCTCAACTGGAATCAACGATGAACACAATTGCCATGTCGGTAAAAGCTTCATGGCCAATTTGCTTACGCTTAATCTCTGAGCATCACCTCTGAACATCTGGCTTTTTTGTGAAATGCAGGTGGAATATGATGTGAAACCATGCAAAAGCAACTGTGCCGGCGATGATGATGTATCCTTGGACGTCGAGAGAAAGAGCTTAGCCATGCCGTTCAATGGGTACATTGTCTATGGCGTATGTCACCAACACGCAGGTGGCAGGGGAGCAGCTCTATACCGAGAGGTTAGACATGGTTAAACCGATTCTGGAAAAAGAGAAAAATAAAACAAAAAATATGAGAAGAACAATGGAATACTGTACTGAAAGATTGATTTGTGGGGATTCTTGTATGTCGGATCAGGATGGAGGGCTTATATGTTCTTCGACGCCGACATATGGGAAAGGAGTTGAACCCGGAAACGAGGCTGGCTACATCGTGGGGATGTCGACATGTTATCCAGAGCCGGTGAAGGTGACGAAGGGAGAGACACTGGTCTTTGAATCTAATTACAGCAGTGCCATTGGTCACACAGGCGTCATGGGTCTCTTCTACATTATGGTCGCTCAACAGCTCCCAGATCATGGGAACTCTTTTCCTGCGCTTATTCGGGTAACAATCTCTCAATCTCTCTCTATCTCCCTCGCACATTGAATCTTGATCAGTTGTTATAGAATTCTGAGTTGATTTCATCGGGTTTTTTTCCGTTGCAGGGAAACTTGAAAACTGTGAATCTGTCGGGTTTGGTTGCGGTGGCGGGAGTGGTGGCGTTGGTGGTGATAGCCGCCGTGGTGTACCGGCGACAGAACCGGCAACAGGATGGATACGAACCACTTAGCACGTGAAACTCGTGTCTCTTGTAGTTTTCTTCTTCGCCTGTCGTGTACGAAAGCAAGTATCTGTCCCTGTGAACGCGCGTTCTGTCTGATGGAAACGCGTTTGTATAAGTTTTGGTTGAATAATGGGTCCCTAAGTGCTGGCGTCAGATGTAACGTGTGAATGTAATGTAATGTTGCTTCTACTATTATTTGCGAAAATAAAAAAAAAAATGTTTTATTTTTTTATTATTCAAGTCATAATCGAAATTGGGATTGACTTGGTTCGGATCTAGGACGGAACAAAAAAGAATCTGAAAATTTGGTATTCAGTTTTTTTAATTATTAGTCTGTCAGAAAATATTATCTTAGATTCTATCTCAATATTTCAATATCAACCATCGAGGTGAAACAAGCATTGAATATTGAATTTAATGATGGGAGAAATTCCTAGATGAATTGATAAGGTAGTTTGTTTTATATCGTAAGGTTGAGGGTTCGACTCTTTACTAACGCATCTATCGTCTGTCAGTTACGGTCGATTCACATCCCGTCGTGTGTCGCGAACTCGTGTGGTGGAATGATGATTTACCTAGTGAACGCATCTAAAGAGCAGCAAATAGGTTCTCCCGTTATGAAAAAAAATAGGTTTAGATTTGAATGTTAGATTAAATAGTATACAGACATTACGAAATTCTTTTGAATTATTTACGAATATCCAAACCATATGAATAGAGTGATGTGATTAATTTAAACACAATGCAGATTGAAAATCAAATATATTAAAAATCTAAATTAACGAATAATCGATTTCAGTACAGGAAAAACACGGATTCAAAATTGGATATCTGTAAAATCTAAAATCGAAAATTAGATTATAAACTAGTTCCGATCATCATCGGTCTGAATTCTGATTCGAGCAAACAGGAACCCTAGTTTGGTTCGGAACAGAACATTAGAACAGAAACAGCCACACGGCAATTGACTCCAATCTCGCACGTGCCTTTTGTATTTGCGCACGTGGTTCTTTTTTCCTCTTTTGTTTTTTTAACCCTCGCCTTTGAAACTGTAGTTTGGTCTCTACATATGAAACGCCGGTTTTCCTCTTTCGCTTGAAACCGAAACCGGCCGTCCTAGTATTACCACGTCGCCGTTGCCCTTATCTCTTCATCGGATCTAACTTCTAAATCCAGAGCTTGAGATTTTGGATTCCGATTAGGTTTTCGCATGCTCTGTTCATCGTCTTGGAGACTCCTGTTTGTGTTGTTGGGTCTTTTCCCACGAAATTTCAGGACCCGAATGACACTGCGTTGAAGTCGCGAGTCACTTTCGATTATAAATACGCCAAGGATGAACGGACCCAGGTGAAATCATCGAGTTTTCTCATCTGGGTTTCTCGATTGATCGGCAATGGAGGCGGGGAGATCCAAAACCGAAGGCTGTAACCCGGTTAAGAAACCCGGACCCGTGACGATGGAGCACGTTCTGCTTGCTTTACGCGAGACCAAGGAAGAGAGGGAGATCAGAATTCGCAGTTTGTTCGATTTCTTCGATGGGTCGAACCTAGGGTTTTTGGATTACACCCAGATCGAGAAGGGATTGTCCTCGCTTCAGATTCCTCCCGAGTACAAGTACGCTAGCGATTTGCTCAGAGTCTGCGACGCGAATCGAGACGGGCGCGTTGATTACCAGGAGTTTCGTCGGTATATGGACGCTAAGGAGCTTGAGCTTTACAGGATCTTCCAGGCCATTGATGTCGAACACAGTGGCTGCATTTTGCCGGAGGAGCTATGGGATGCTCTTGTTAAGGCTGGTATGTGATTCTATACTGTTCCATTACGGCACTGTTATTTGCTCCAATGGTTATCTGAACAAGATTTCTATTAGTATTCTGTAAGATGCTTCTGAAGAATAGAGGATTGCCTTGTGTGTTTAGGGTAACTGGTAAAGTTTCAACTTTTGTGGGTTTTATGGATTGTAACCTTGTGAAAGAACATTTTTCCTCATTTCTTCTGAGTTTGTTAATTCTAGATTGTTTTTCATGTTTCTCCCGGATATGGATTTTGATTAGGTAGGCTGTTGATGACATTGTTTCCCCTTTTGGAGTTAAACTGCTTGGTCTCGTTTAGTCTTTCTGTCAGTAAATTACAAATCCTTGAATGTTGAGGAAGGTCTGTCGTAAATGTGAATCCAACTAAGAAACAACCTTTTTTGCACGATGAAGCCGGAAAGTTTATGACAAGCTAACCGAAGCATTCTTTTCAAGAGCTTTTGTGCTCAGGGAGAGTGAACATCTCTGTTTTCCCCCCTACTGTTCCCTCGAATGTAACTTTTTCGGTTAAGAAGCTACAGGTTATTTGCCATGGCTGTTTTCCCAAATGTTTGTTATCTGCTGCTTTATCGGGTTACATCTTTCGTGACGACTGCCTGGTGAAGTTGAAACTTGCCGCTCTTACCTGACGATAATTTGATGTATTATCGTGCGACAATACCCTTTGTTTTCTGCAAGCTGCCCGCCCCCTTTTTGATTGTCATGTCTCCATGTCAAAGTACCTGTCTTTTTGAGACCAGGCTTATTGATTTTTCCATTTTTTTTAAAAATGCTTTTATGTTTTTTCTTCCCTCAGTTGCTTGTTTGTTTGGTATTATCTTCAACCTACATAAGCCCTGCAGTTCGGTTCTTGCAGGCATTGAAATCGATGATGAGGAACTTGCCCGTTTTGTGGAGCATGTGGACAAGGACAACAATGGGATCATAACTTTTGAAGAATGGAGAGATTTTCTTCTGTTATACCCACATGAAGCCACCATTGAAAACATCTACCATCACTGGGAAAGGCTGTGCCTTATAGACATTGGAGAGCATGCTGTTATTCCGGACGGTATAAGTAAACATGTCAAAAGAAGCAAATTGCTTATCGCAGGTGGATTAGCCGGAGCCATATCTAGAACTGCAACCGCCCCTCTGGACCGTCTCAAAGTTGTCTTGCAAGTTCAAAGAACGCATGCAAGCGTTGCCACGGTCATTACGAAAATATGGAGGGAAGACCGGTTATTGGGTTTCTTCAGAGGTAATGGGTTAAATGTAATGAAGGTGGCTCCTGAAAGCGCCATAAAGTTTTGCGCTTACGAAATGCTGAAACCCATTGTTGGGGGAGAAGATGGAGATATTGGCCCGAGCGGGAGGCTTCTGGCCGGGGGAATGGCTGGTGCATTGGCTCAAACTGCCATCTACCCTATGGATCTCGTGAAAACTCGGTTACAGACTTGTGTGAGCGAAGAAGGCGGAAAGGGACCCAAGTTGGGGAAGCTAACAAAGGAAATATGGGTTCGAGAGGGGCCTCGAGCCTTTTACAAGGGTCTATTCCCTTCTCTTCTCGGGATCATCCCTTATGCGGGAATTGACCTCGCCGCCTATGAAACCTTCAAGGACTTGTCAAGAACATACATTCTTCGCGACACCGGTAAAATCCTTGCTATTTTCACATGCGTTTTTTTGTGAAATTCTTTAACTTTTGAACTGGTTTTTTTGCCTATTGTTGTTCTACGATACGGAATTGGCTTGACTCCTGCAGAACCAGGTGCTCTCGTGCAGCTCAGCTGTGGAATGATGTCGGGAGCTCTTGGAGCAACGTGTGTTTACCCGTTGCAGGTCGTAAGAACAAGGTAAAAACTCAGTTCCTGCTAAAGACATGTCAGATTTCGTTTCGGTTTTCTGCTATGATCCTTGAAAATGGGTCTTAATTGTCATATCCTCTCAGAATGCAAGCTGACAGCGCAAACACCAAAATGAGGGAAGAGTTCATGAAAACACTGCGTGGCGAAGGCTTGAGAGGTTTCTACAGAGGGCTCTTACCGAACCTTCTGAAAGTGGTTCCAGCTGCAAGCATCACTTATATCGTTTATGAAGCCATGAAAAAGCACATGGATCTTTGATTTGTTCAAAGCTTTCGCCTCATCATTTCGGCGTTTTCAGACACTACCGAGACTGGGATGACGACGAAGACAAGCTTGGAGCTGTCCGGATTAGGATTCTTTCTGTTCCTTAGGGGATCTTTTCAGTTAAGATTATGAAGAAAAAAAACGATGGAAATTTAGCAGGAAATATCACACGGATGAACGATTGCATAAAAGAGATCAGTTTGACTCTCTCTCTCTAGATCTGAACTCAACCTGATATTGTTGAAAAGAACAATCAGACAAAGCTGGTACGTTTCTTTATAAAGCAAGCACAAAGAACACATAAACCTTGTCTGTCTCGCCGGAGATTTTGCCGGCGCCGGCGCCGGAGAATTTCAGGAGAGAGACAGCAACAAGAAGAAGAAAAACAGAGGGAAAGGGAGAGAAACAAAAAAAAAAGGAAAAGGAAGAAGAAGAAAGGCGTAGCCTTCCCTTTGCCTATGATGACTTGCCGTTTTCGAGAGACTTCCCTCTTGACGGAGAGAAGCCGACGTTAACTTCCGTTATCTGATGCAGAGGAAATCACCCTTTAACGCCGTCTTCTTTTTCCGTTTCTTTCTCCACATCATTTTCTCTCTCTCTCTCTCTCTCTCTCTCTCTCTTCTGTGAGCAACAGCAAAACAAAAGATTAATTACGAGGGAGGAACATATAATCTTTCTTCCCACGTCTATCATCACACTTCGCTCCTTTTATAATACTCTTAATGGTCCCATAACCCATGCCTTAAAAAAATTTATTAATATATTTTTCTTAAAATTGTTATTTAATTCAAAAGAATAGAATCAGATTTCCACACTTTACTCCTACTTAGATTTAAAAAAAATTAATAAAAGTATGATGAGTTGTCCTTCCCCCACCCAAAAAAGAAGAAGAAGGAGAAGATGCCATGCTAGTGGTCCTTGTTATTATATGCTCTCTATATACATTTAAAAATTGTATAATTTAAGAGAGGTTGCTTGTGTTATTACTAGTTTTGTGAGGAGACAGTGAGAATGCCATTGGCCATTTTAAAATAAAATATGTTTCCAATATCCATATTTTTCATAAAATAGATGATTGCATGTTATTGTCTAGTGTGTGATTGGCCGATATATTAGTACAGAAGGTAGGGTCGTAGCTTTATAGGGACAAAAACGAGTTACACTTTGAAAATCAATTGGAATAATAAGAGAGGGAGCAATTGAGGAAAAAGGTTAGGGAAACACGTGGAATTTATCTATTCATATGCAATATATTTTGTGTATTAAGGAGAATTATGGGCAAATTAAAATAAAAATGCTAAGGACCACATGCCCTCTCTCTCTCTCTCATAGGGGCATTATAAAAAATACATATATTTCCTTAAGAAGCATATAAAAAAAAAAGATGGAATCTCTGAATTACGTCCGCACCGTTTATTTATAACAAAAATTAGTAATGGGGAATCTCTAGGTCGAATAAGCACTAATTCCATTTAAGTGGGAGCAAGTAGGAATATAAATTTTTTTTAAATAATCATTGGGAAAAAAGTATAGCCTTTAATTCATGCCTTATTGAGAAAGCTTTCTATCTACCCCTAAAGTTTTAAACAAAATTCCTCTATATCCAACTTTATTATAAATCAATATTACTAAAAATGAAATATTCTATCGACCGATTAGATTAGTCACAAAAGTATATGATTCTTAATCATTGTATATGCGTATGTAAATACTAAAAAATACACAAAATTGTTTGCATTATTATATATTTTATTTTGGTTTTGGATTTTTATTATATTAGATGTTATACATAATTTTCTACTAAAACTTCATTATCTATCTATCTATATATATAATGAGATCCATACATAAATAAAATAAATAATATATTCTCGTATACATCCAGAAATTCCAGTTCCGCTTTTAAAAGAATAAACCAAAACTAATCAACTTCATGATAAATTTTATATATAACGTGTTAAATCGATTAAAAAACAGAAAACCAGATATGAATAATATTTACCAATCTAAATCGAAAGCCAGCATGCAATAATCCTACATATTTTTTTTGGGTAATCGAATGTGTGAAACAAGATCCAAACTAAATTTAAAATCGGGGGTCAGTTATATAATTTGGAATATACACACTCTTTTCAAACTTAAGATTCAAAATCAGAACAAGACATAAACTTTGTGTTTACATTTAACCGATTGAACCCTAAACATTTACCAACGAATTCATCAAATTATCTCATTCTAATAATATTCATTAAACATGGGAAACAATAAATAACAGATTTATTTTTAAGACAAAAAAAAAAAGTAATCTTCAATGTGGGTGTAGACGAGGGGTATTTCCGTATTTTCACGTTTTTCGGCGTAGACGATTCGAAATTGGAATGAATGTGCAATCTCAGTGTTTTGTATGTATAGAAACTAACTAATAATTAGAAATACGGCCCATTTTTGGGCCCAACATCAACTCAGCGGCGGGCACAGGCATACAGTATCCATGTGGCGTGAACTTCGGATGACGTGGCGTGTTCTGATTGGTTCCCACCTCGTGGCCACAGTTTCGGAAGGGGTCTGTACAACGACATATAAAGCGTACGGAAGAGGCGGAAACGAAAGAAAAAACTGGAACAGAGATTTTCTGGGATTTGTTTCCCGAGAAAATTTTCCAATCTATTTTCCGGTCTGATCAGATCACTGAGACTGTTTTCTCTTCGAGAATGAGAGAAATGAAGCTTCCGTTCGCGTTGCTACTTCTCGTAACTTTCGGTTCGTTTCAGAAACTTTGCGTCTGCGACGATCAAACGGTACTGGCAATGCCGTTGGTTTTTCTTCCCCAAGTTAATTTCATGCGTGTTCCTTTGATTTGTTCAAAATTCTCTGTTCTGATCTTTGCTTTGATCAGGTCTTCTACGAACCGTTCGATGAGTCGTTTGATGGTCGCTGGGTCGTTTCGGAGAAAGGGGAGTACCAAGGTAAGGGTTGGTTTTACCATGAGAATCACGTCTCGATTTTGTTTTTCATTTAGCTTTGATCTGTACTGTTCATCGTTGTTTCTATTGGGTGTTATTAGTGTATGGCTTATGTTATCGAAGACAGATTGAATTTTCTAGTGGGATCTCGATGATTGTACCTGAACGATGTGACTAATGGATGTAGACAACGTTGTGAACTTAATGTTCCTTAATCGGTTCAGGTATCTTGTACGATGGAACCTTCAATTGATCATTTACGGTCTCTTGTAATCCAAGTTGTCGTGTTCGAGAATGGTTTCCAACTTTTTGGTCTTTGTGGATTTTCTTGGCTTTCGGCTTCAGAAATACCTGAACCCGGGAGAACATTATGAATGAAGTAACATGGTGATTTGTTGTCCTGATGTCGAATTGCTCTCATATACACATACCCGGCCAAATGATCTTGTTTCGGTTAGTAGTTAGGAAATTCTTTTTTATGAAGGTGGGTAGGAAGTGTTTCAGGTTGTATTAGTTATTGCAAGATATATTGGCTGCTTCATGTCGAATTTTCAGCTTTTGTTTCTTAGTAGAAGATTGTTGACAGTATAAAAATCTTGTGGTCAGGTGTCTGGAAGCATGCGAAGAGCGAGGGACATGATGATTATGGGCTTCTTGTGAGTGAGAAGGCCAGGAAGTACGGAATCGTCAAAGAGCTGGACGAGCCACTAAACCTCAAGGACACAACTATTGTTCTTCAGTACGAGGCTCGTTTCCAGGAAGGCCTCGAGTGCGGTGGCGCATACTTGAAATATCTCCGTCCTCAGGAAGCTGGATGGATGCCTCAGGAGTTCGACAATGAATCTCCGTATTCCATCATGTTCGGACCCGACAAGTGTGGGGTTACAAACAAGGTGCATTTCATCCTGAAGCACAAGAACCCCAAGAGCGGCAAGTATTTGGAGCACCATCTTAAGTTCCCTCCTTCTGTCCCATTCGACAAGCTCTCCCATGTCTACACCGCCGTTTTGACAACTGACAATGAGGTCAGGATTTTGGTCGATGGAGAGGAGAAGAAAAAGGGAAACTTGCTGTCTGCTGAAGACTTTGACCCACCTTTGATCCCTCTGAAAACTATCCCTGACCCGGAAGACAAGAAACCAGAAGACTGGGATGAGAGGGCCAAGATCCCTGATCCTAATGCTGTGAAGCCTGATGATTGGGATGAGGATGCTGCCATGGATATCGAAGATGAGGAAGCTGAGAAACCCGAGGGATGGCTGGATGATGAGCCCGAAGAGATTGATGACCCCGAGGCAGCTAAGCCCGAAGACTGGGATGACGAGGAAGACGGTGAATGGGAAGCTCCTAAGATCACTAACCCCAAGTGTGAGACAGCTCCAGGTTGTGGTCAATGGAACAGACCGATGAAGAGGAACCCGGCATACAAGGGCAAGTGGAGTGCACCTCTTGTCGATAACCCGGCCTACAAGGGAATCTGGAAACCAAGAGAGATTCCAAACCCTGACTACTTTGAGCTCGACAGGCCGGACTTCGAGCAGATTGCAGCCATTGGTATAGAGATCTGGACGATGCAAGATGGTATCCTGTTCGACAACCTCTTGATCGCCAAAGACGAGAAGGTCGCCGAGACATACAGACAGACCACTTGGAAACCCAAGTTCGATGTCGAGAAAGAGATGCAAAAGGGCGACGACGAGGCTGCTACCGGATCCAATGTTCTCAAGAGCTACCAAGTAATTACTTTTTTTTTTTGCAGAAAAAAAGCGTCTTTCTCTTTTCCATTAAACGCGTCATATGCTCACCACTTTTTTTTGTCCCTATATTGTTGCAGAAGGGGCTGTTCGACCTCTTGTACAAGGTTGCGGACATTCGTTACCTAAGTGCACACAAGGACAAGATCATTGTAAGTTGTCTGTCTCCTGTTAATCCCCCGACCACATCTATCAAAACCCTCATTGAAATTATGAAATCTACCTTATAGGAACTCATCGAGAAAGCAGAGCAGCAGCCAAACATAACTGTTAGCGTCCTCATCTCCGTCGTGGTCGTGATCCTCTCACTATTCTTTAAGCTCATCTTTGGAGGTAAAAAGGTAAATTTCCACAAGCATCATGGTATATACACTGTGTATGATACCGACCTTGCAGAATAAGGGAAAAAAACAGTACCCTTAGGATCTAGTTTTAATCGGTAGCTGCTGAGATATAAAATGTCCATTCACCTTACTAAGAAGGATTCCTCGTCCGTACGTAACATTAATTTATAGGTGAAGGTGGAAACGAAGAAACGGGAAGCAGCAGAAGCTTCAAAGGAGGAGGAGGAGAAGCAGAAGGAAGAAGCTCCCACAAGGAAGAGGCAGCCGAGACGTGAGGGCTAATGAACATTTTCATATTCGAAAGGTTGGGCCTTTTAAGGCATTAGATATCTTACAGAATGCCATGAATTTTTGTATTCATCGATATTAGATTTGTACAAAAACAAAGTCACTGTCGATTAGAAGAGCAAAAACATATTGTTGGTCTTTTTTATTGCAATCATCATCAAATCGCCATTTGGAGAAATGGCTTATCATGGACTTTTTTTTTTTTTTTTTTTGTAATTCTCTTTATGGAATGCCAATAATAGAAACCGTTCAAGAAAGCCTCAAACAAAAAACCGAAACAACCAACACACGAGAGACCAAAAAACAATAAACTCTGCGTCTTGTCGGGAATGGACAAAACTAGTTCCGTTTATTGGGTCACAATCCGCACGCCCATTGCTCTCTTTGACGGATGATGCAACAATGATTTATTGTTTTGATATTTTGTCTTCTACTGTCCCATTTAGTTACAAACAAATATTACAAAAAATTATGAATATAAGATAAATAAAAACGAAGGTATTGATTGATCAAACTATAACTTGATATAATAAAACGAAATACAAAAACAAGTCCCGTAATCGAACCTCGTAGCAGTTGCCAGTAGTAGGCATTACTTGCAACCTTATTAGTGTAACTCTATCCTCGACACCCTAGAGAGAAAAATTCTATTAAAAATATCCCAAAACCAAAACATAAAATTAAAAAAAAAAAAAAGCTAAAACGTTACAAAAGTTTCATGCAAGCAAAAATAACATTGCACCGATCCTCCAAACCAAAGGAACAAGACTTCGACCCCATTTCGCATCATGTTTGGTTTCCGACCATAACTTACCACCCCGGCCGAGAATTTACCGGCGTCCGCCTCCGGGCTTTCTGACTGGAGCTGAGTCCTCGTCGTCGGATTGGATATCACCGTACTGCCATATCCCGGTCCTTGAGGTGCGGGCTTCTTCTTGGAACTTCTCCAGACTGTCGAGAGCCGCCAGTTTATCCTTCGGCTCCCATCTCTTACGTTTCTCCATCCTCGCAAGCCCTTCCTGTTCGCCGCAAACAACAAATTCCCGATGTAAACCAATCGAAATCCGAACTTGGGGAAGAAAGAAAACCGAAGGTGAAAGTCACGGACGGACCTGAAGCATGGCAGCATTGACAGAGAGTTCATCATCTACAGCGATAAGAGTGACAGCAAGTTCAGTTCCAGTTCCTTGGCCTTTGACTTTACCACCAGAAGTGTCCCTTTCCTCGACCACTGCCCTGAACTCTCTTCCACTGCCCAGCGTCACATTGCTCAGATACTCGGCCGCTTCCGGTCCAAAGTCCTCTTCTACGTTCGGGATTTTTACGTAAGCGAGCCTGCATAGCTGGGCAAGCCCCGGGGCAGAGGACACCGAAGGATCCACGGGCCGTATTCCGCTGTATGGAACCATCTCCTGGTTCCCGTAATCGATGTAGAATACTTCAAATTTGTCCTCTGGGGACTGAACCTATATCCAACTTTATTATAAATCAATATTACTAAAAATGAAATATTCTATCGACCGATTAGATTAGTCACAAAAGTATATGATTCTTAATCATTGTATATGCGTATGTAAATACTAAAAAATACACAAAATTGTTTGCATTATTATATATTTTATTTTGGTTTTGGATTTTTATTATATTAGATGTTATACATAATTTTCTACTAAAACTTCATTATCTATCTATCTATATATATAATGAGATCCATACATAAATAAAATAAATAATATATTCTCGTATACATCCAGAAATTCCAGTTCCGCTTTTAAAAGAATAAACCAAAACTAATCAACTTCATGATAAATTTTATATATAACGTGTTAAATCGATTAAAAAACAGAAAACCAGATATGAATAATATTTACCAATCTAAATCGAAAGCCAGCATGCAATAATCCTACATATTTTTTTTGGGTAATCGAATGTGTGAAACAAGATCCAAACTAAATTTAAAATCGGGGGTCAGTTATATAATTTGGAATATACACACTCTTTTCAAACTTAAGATTCAAAATCAGAACAAGACATAAACTTTGTGTTTACATTTAACCGATTGAACCCTAAACATTTACCAACGAATTCATCAAATTATCTCATTCTAATAATATTCATTAAACATGGGAAACAATAAATAACAGATTTATTTTTAAGACAAAAAAAAAAAGTAATCTTCAATGTGGGTGTAGACGAGGGGTATTTCCGTATTTTCACGTTTTTCGGCGTAGACGATTCGAAATTGGAATGAATGTGCAATCTCAGTGTTTTGTATGTAGCATCCGATGCAAAAAAAAAAAAAAAAAGTGGACACAAAGATGGAAAAAGATGATGAATGAATTACCATTGCCCGGTTCCAGGATTTGTCGAGGCTGAACTGTGCAAGAACAATATCACCCTTCTTAGGGTTGAATGCCCCGATAACGGGTGCCTCTTTGAGATTCAATGAAGCAAGTTGGTGCTGAATCGAGGTTACTTTCTGATCACCGACTGCTTGAATGTAGAATTTTCCACCTCCAAGTACTTCTGTAACAGCAACCTGTAGAGAAAGGAAAACATGTTTAAACAAGAAAAAACGAAAACGTAATTGTCTTCCAATGGAAACTATTGTATGATTAATGCAGACACCTTCAATGTTTCCTTCTGCTTGGTTTCAACAGTCGAACCATTTGAAACTTCTTCTCCTTCAACATAGTTTTCCCAAATCTGCCGAAAGATCATCACAAGTTAACGTTTAGGATTTGAAGAAAAGCATTTTTTTTTCTTTGGAAGACAATGGTATTACTTATTATTACCTTTAGTTTCTGCCCTTTAGCAGATCGTTCCGCCTGTTCAAGAAGATGAGCCTCAGGGATTCTGTCTGAACCGAAGCTAGTCTGCATCTTTGCAAGGCCAGCTTCAAGAAGAACCAGTGCCACATTGGTCCTAGACTCCCACATCGATCCCAAGAATGTACCCGTTCTATCCACAGTTTCAACCTCAATCTGTGTATTGTACGAGAAAATGTTAAAAACCCAAGATAGGAGAATAAAAGAAAAACAAGATATACATCTGATCTCAGGCATCATCAAGTTCTGAATTACCTCGACATCTCTCTGCATTATCTTTCGTCTCATTAAAGCAATTGCTTCATCCGAATAAGGTTCGTCACGGCCAGGACATCTCACACCGGAGAATGAAAAGGCGATACTGCATGTTTCCCTTGGAATCAGAAGCTTAAACCGATGTCCACTCAAAACGTATTCCACAACAGCAGAGATTCTCCTGCTTCGGTGCAGGAATGGCAAGAAATCCCTAGCCTTCTTGACTGAGGCCTGAGATTATAATATCATTCAACAATCAAATCAGAGAAACAGAGAGGAAAAAAAACTGCAGTTCGGTGCATGTGTGTGTGTGGGTATCTAACCGTTGTAAGATCTGTGATGTGCATGACTGGAGAATCCTTCGCAGAATGGATTCCCTTCTTCCCGGTAATAGCACGGGATTCAACAGCCAGAAGAGCATCATAGTAGTTAGATCTTTCCTCGAAATCTCGGTGCCTAACAACAGTTCCAAAACCACGGGCAATAACAAGCTCTGCAATGTTCACCCCTGGCTGCTGGCCACCATCAGTAGCTGCAGCAGGCAATGGAGTTTCATCAGCATCACCCTTGGTGGTAGAGGGAAGGAACACAGAGCCAAAATCCATGACCCTGGAATCGCCAGCCCCAGAAGTAGTAGCACCATCTGCTGGGCTGACCTTCCTTGAGTATTCCATTTGAACAACAACCTGGGGAGGGAGAAATTTCAGATTATGTACTGCTGATTCTAACCCAGCGTAAATTAAAGAATTTTCATTAAGGAAAAGAAGAATTACTTGTTTGCCGATGAGCCTTTGTCTCAGAAATTCCCTTGCTTCCCGAGCATAGGGGGCTGGTTTTTCATCTCTTCGTGGATTACCCATTTTGGGACACCTGATACTCGAAAGACAGACTCGTCGCTCGGCCAATGGGCTCCCATACGGGATAGAATCATCAGCAACAACAACACAGTCCCCACTTACAACTTCCACTACCTGAGAAAAGTTAAAAGCTAAGAACATGTTTTTAAAAAGAACACCAAGGCAGTAGAAGAAGAAAGGATATTCACCAAGGGCCTTAGACCTTAAGATATTTATTACCTTTCCAGTAAAGTTCTGGTCATGAATTGCCTTTGAGTTCGTCGCTGGAGGAACATAGTTGGTCCACATTCTCAATCGGTTTTTCTTGGCCTGAAGCTCTGCGGCTTTCAGTTTCCTCTTGGCTTCATCTTCCATCATGTTAGCACTCCATTCTACGTACTTAGCGAGACCCTGTGCAACATGAAAATATCAATCTGTCACTCCTTCCATTCACAAGATAAAAGATCACATTCACCAGCACGTTAAATTCACGTCTGAGACATGCTATAGAGAAAGCTACCAACATAATTGTGAACTATCACAATGTGTCAGCTAGATCACTCTATAAGAAACAACAGTGAAACAGAGAAAGAGACTGTAGTTGCCGTGTGAATTATGGAATGAAGATCATTTTCATGAGGCAAAAGACTATCACTCTATTAGTTAAATTTGTTAGCATTCATGTGCAAAACAAAAGCTCAGACGGGTATGTGCACATACATTCTCGACAAGCTCCAAACCCAAGTCCTTCACTGTTTCCCCATCAGAATAATGAACTGAACCGATCAGATTGTTGAACTTGTCAACACCTTCCAAAACAATGCGAACCTACAAAACCGCCTCACACTCAGGTCATCGGATTGTGAAATATCAATACACAAAACTCAATTTGTTGTGAAATCTCCTTACATCTCTACTCAAAACACGAAGCTCGGTAAAGTACTTGGCTTCCATTGCAAAAGGATCTGGAGAAGATTCAACAGATGATGCTGCAGAGGCAGCAAGTCTCTGGGCTGATGTTAGAGGAGCATGTGGTTCCGTAGAAACATCTCCATTCGGCTCAGATGAGGTAACATCTGTCTCAATAAAACTATCAGCTGGAGGTCTCCTTCCCACTGATGGAGCCTATTCAAAGAGCCATATGAAAGACAATGTTACATTTCAGAAGTTGTGCCAGAAAAAACATTTAAGTGTCAACCTCTGACACAAAAAACAGCGAATAAACATTCCGTACCTGAACTCCAGCAACAAATACTTGCACAAACTGAAAGTCTGGAAGAAGATAGACCCGAACGGTACTGCCATCACGGACTTGCTCGACAATACCCTCCATGGGCTTGCCTTTGCTTGCAGCTAAAAGTCCCATCGCATCAAAGTTACCAGCATCCCCAATGGCAGAAGGAGGAAGATTTCTGACAGACGCCTCAGCAGCACCAGGGACCTGGAACGATGTAAAATCCATCAGGAAAGCTTACAGAAAGAAACGATACCATCATAAGTGAAAACAAGTACAAGATATTAATTACAACCATAAATCTTAAGCGACTCTCTGAGAAACGAACATTTAAATTTCTTCTATGACATTTTACTTTTCTCAGCAGACCACAGAAAGAGTGGACTGCAATGGTTCATGAACTAAGACTCCCGACACGTTTGTAACAAATAAAGATAAATAAATTTAAGCTTCAACTGATGGGACCTAGAAGAACAAGAGAGGGAAAACAACCTTGCTCCAACGACCAAAACCTTCTTGCTTGGCCTGCTCTTCAAGCCGTAGCAATTCCGCAATGTAAGGGCTGACCTTATCCTGATTTTGCTGGCCTGGCTCCCTGACCTGTCAATGCGCAGCCAATCCTCACACCAAATCAGAAAATAGTGTTATGACCACCAAAACTCAGATTTTGCGATCTAGTTAAATAAGCAGGCAGCATTTAACCTTTGCCCAGCCAGCAGCAACAACAAGCATGGCAACATTTTCATTGCCGAGGAAAACGGATCCAAATTCTCTGCCAGCAATAGCTTCCACTTTGTAATCCACTTTGAATACAACCTCCTGCACAAGAAACATATTAGTTATTACCCAGCTAAGGAAAAAGATTCGACCATTTTGGTTGACAACAGGATCAACAGTCTAAAAAGTCTTTGACTTTGCACCTTTCCAATGCAAAGTTTCCTCAGAAACTCCTTGCTTTCCCATGCAAAAGGTTCATCTAAACCTCCCCTGCGAGCCTGAAAAAACAGACACCGGTGGCCCGTTAGTGAAGACAACACCTCAAAAGAAAATTGACTCTGCTTCATCATTTTTGAAGAACAATAATTTGATTAGCTTACCAGCCTAGGAGCAATGAGAGAAGATAGAGTGATGGTCTTTTCCGGTGGAGGACCGGGCTTGTTGTGGCTCAAAGCCGTGATCACCAAGCAGTCCCCAGAGGTCACAGCCTTCACTCTCCCTCTGAGCCACTTGTTCTCAGTCGCTGCAGCCGACGCCATTATGATTGGCTAAGACCTGCACCAAATCGACCACAGACCTTTAACAAACTTACCCTGTGAAAAAGGATAACGCAAATCACAGATGCATCATCATTCATATTCCCCTGTAAAGATTGCTGCATCTACAAAATTTTAAAGTTTGCTGGCTTTTCAACGTGGTGCATTGGTACCCAATTTATCAGAATTCAGACTTGCCTGATCAGATTCATCATAAGAACGACAGAAAAATTCCACAATCCCTTTGTAGATAGGTACGCTAATTGCAACCAAATTACTAAAAAGGGCATAAGAAATCACCGAAAAGCCACATGAATCCACAGAAAATTAGCATAATTGGCCCATAACGTAACGAGAAATCATACATTTGCCTCGATCTGCACCGTACAGCTCGATCGAGCTGATCAAAGTAACGTTTTCAACGAACCAATACAAGCAGATTTAACGCATGATCGTTGCATTCAAAAAGCCAGATCAGATTCAGATCAACAGATGGATAGATCTACGAAAGTTCTTCGACGATTCCGACGAACATACCTGGATTATCCGGGAATATATAGATCTGGGAGAGCACAAAAAGAAGAAAGATCTCTCTTTTTTCTCTCTGGTCCAATCTTAGATTGACCGAGAGAGGGAGAAGAGAGAGAGAGGTTGTGGGTCAGAGAATGATACGGCGGATCTCGAGATGTGGAGAGCTCGGAGATGGTGTCGAGGCGGAGGCGAAGAAATATATAAACAAGAGGGAGGGTCAGGGGAGATATTGGCGATATATCTATAGTACCCCTGAAAGACAAGGAAATTACATGATTTGCCATTAAGAGATTAGATATGGTTTTGCGGAAAATAGGTTGCTTTTTAGGTCATCTCCAGAAAAAGTAACAAAATCAACTTGTCTGTTTCACTTTCAGTTAAAACTACAAATTCTAATTTCAGCCCATTATTTATCCGAATTTACAAAAAAGGTCTTTTATGAAATTGTTATGTAATTTAGAGAAAAAGAGGATAAAATCTTTATTTTATAAGCAATATTCTTATTTTTAATCTTGGATAAATAATGTTATGATTTTGCATTGATAAGATATAAAAATGCTTGCGCTGAAATTCAATTTCAATATGCTATTTATTGTAAGTTTTAAAATAGGAAAAGTTTTATAGCAATCAATAGGTTCGGTTCGTATTTATTTGTAATAAAATTGTCACTTTAATCTTACCAAAACGTATTAAATGGGGTCATTTAATATGTAAAAAGGGACTAAATCTCACTTGACAAGGAAAACTTTCAAGTAAATACTTAAAATGTCCCTCTAAATTTTATGTACGAACCAAAAACTAACGGTAAAATTTTGAATTAGGCTTACAAAAACCATGGTAATATAAGTATTAGCAAGAAAAAAAAAAAGAATAATGGAATTATATATTGGAAAGTGTACTAATTTCTAATGAAATTTTACGGTGACGATCTTATATATGAAAATTTTGAATTGGGCATACAAAAGCCATGGTAATATAAGTCTCGCCTTCATGCCAACATACGTAGCTATGTCTCCTCGGACAGGGGGATCACACATGCAAGTAGCCACGTACGTTTAGACAAGAGACATTGACGAGTTCTTGTCTTTATCTTAAATCCACACCCATATGCTATAAACCCAATATATATATATATATATATATATATATATATATATATATATTGGGTTTATAGCATATGGGTGTGGATTTAAGATAAAGACAAGAACTCGTAAATCTCTGTTTGGTTCTCAGTCGTTGGATTTTATGGACAAAAGTAATTTTGTTTTTTCGGTTATTTTTTATTCGATTTGATTCGGTTTTAAAAAAATTATAACTTTTCTATTTTCAAATCCAATTTGGTTGAATGGAATGATATATTGTTCTATTGGAATCGATTTTATCATCCGGTTATTACCTTAGAAAATTAGGGGTGAATATTTTGGTTTTCGGTCTGATATTCAAACGATTCGATTAGAAAACGTATTTTCGTGTTTTATAGAAATTGCTTCAAACTAGAACTGAATGTTAAACGCTTCAATTCGATTCGGTTTTACCATCGGTTCGATTCGAAATAATATCGTTATACAAATAACAAATAAGTAATGAACCATAATATTTGTATATGTATATATATATATATATATATATATTAATAGATATATATTTAGCTTCATATTGAATGGTGTTGCTTATTTCGTTTAATTATGATGCGCTCTATTCTTTCTTTCTTTTTTTTACGAACTTTAAGATTTAATCTTAAACGATTGATGGTATAAAGCAAGCAATGTAGGGCTAAACATGTATATAAGATTGAGAGATATATATTCAAGATTATTAAGTACCTTCAATTTGATTCGAATAAAAAACCTTTTATATTCAAACTGTTTACGTGCAATATGTATGTTTCGTATAGAACGTGTAGTGTAGGGGTCTGTATTGATAATTATAAACATAAAGGTTTATTTTCAGAAAAAAACTATGATGCGGGGCGGATATTCTATTTTCGGAAAAGGAAAAGGCAAAAGGCACGGAATTGGAGGGGCGTTAGGTCCTGAGGTGGCAGAATCGTAAACACATCTACTCTCGTCTTTTGTACTTTTTATGTACATACACATACACATACACATATCAAATATACATAATATCTTCATATATTTTCTTTTCTTTAATATTTTTTTTTCCTGCTTTTCTTTAATAATTTTGATTTTCATTTGTCGGGATTTATTACAGGTCTAATAATAACAAAGGAAAAAACTCTAAAAATTTCTGAACATATAATTTAGAGTAATATTAATTCATAAACTTGTAGAGGTGTCTATTAATTTCCAAACTTATAAAATTGAACATATTAAATCTCGAACTTGTTAAACGGTTTCATAATCGTCCATAACGTTATTTGGTCAAAAAAATAAGTTCGAATGATCCGACATACATATACCTAACCCTACACGTTTTCTACATTACTAGTAATTTGTAAACCGCAGAACTCGCCGAACCACCACGAGAGACACTTGACCTATTTCATGTTATAATAATTAGGACCAACGCGTTTTCCCTGTATTTTCCTTCACGTTCCATTATAAAACAATTGAAGTACATATACCTAACCCTACACGTTTTCTACATTACTAATAATTTCAGAAAAAGGCAAGATTTTTTTCTAAATAAAAAGGAAGAAGAAGACAGCCCACGACCAAAGCACGACTGCATATCTTAATATCCCCGTCCATGTCCGTAGCGTACAATGAGATAAATATCGGACGAAATCCATATAACGCCTTGTAAAAAAAGACAAAAACCATATGTTACACGGAAAACCAAATGCACCGTTTTGGATTTGCATGAAAACATAAACAAAACTCTGTATCCTTTTTCAGGCCAAAATCTCTCTCCCTATATATTGTAAATAAACCTTGACCTAATCTTCGAGATCTTCGTCCATATCTTCTCCATCTTCATCAATATCTTCTTCTCCATCTTCTTCTTCGCTTTCTTCGTCACTACCTTCTTCCTCGCTTTCATCAGGCTTCTTCTCTGTTTTCTTGTCACTCACATTTCCTAAACAATCGGACATATTGACGAGTCGGTCCATGTTTCGTGTTACCAATGGTTCATATATGATATTGCAAAAATGGGTTTTTTTATAACATACCGAATTCACTGAATATAACTCCTCCAGAACACAACCCTTCCTCAACCTTGGTGAGTTGAAGGGTCATTCTTGGTCCAATCTCCTGCAATTTCACGGCGCTTTTCGTCGACGCCCGGTTTACTCTGCCCATATCGGTAGTTAGCGTCACTGTGGCCGCTTCTTCATCTGCTTCGCTCTCTGATCCATACCCAGCTCTTACCAAAGACAGAACCAAAGTTAATGCACATCGATACAAAGAAGATGGAATGGAAAGGGATAGGTCCAATTCTGGTGAGGAAAAGATCCTTACTTGGTGACAAAGTCACTGACATCCTGCAAGTTCCTAAGATCTGGGACCTGATGGTTCTGTACAAACTTTCTGATCCTACGTGACACTCCCACTGGCTGGAGTCTTATGGAGTAATGTCGGAAGTCCACAAGTTTTGTCTCTTTGTTGTAGTTCAGAAGTACTATTCTTTGGCATGAAGAGAGTTTGACCTGACATTCACATCCAAAACAGCATTCATTACAAAAGGGAGGAATAGCTTTACACTACTTGATTGATGCCAATATCATCATTGTCCTTCCCGTACTCACAGTGTTAATATCTATGGCTGGGAATATGTTTTGAAACATAATGGTAGTGAGCTTCAGATGCTGTTCCCCACCACCAAATCCCGAAAGGACAATCTGACAATGACAAGTGCATCGAAGCATAGCACCCGGCAATTAGTTTGCATATACAAGAGCACAAATCTATACAGAACACAGGAAAGAAGAGAAGGATTACCAGAGGAGGATTCTTAAAAAGATCTTGAGGACATCTAGGCCGCAACTGAGACTGAGCTATATCTGATGCCAAGGCATATTCGTGAATTTTAAACGTGAGAGTAGGGCCCTGTGGTGTTCTTGCTACTCTTAGATATGGTGCAGACTCTGTTTTAGATAGTATAAGGAAATGCGTGACACCCATAGGACCTGCTACGTTTAAAAAGTCCTTCAGATTGTTCCGCTTTTTCTCCTGAAAAAGTGGGGCAGAAAAAGAACGAGCAAATCATTTAGGCAATAGTAAATCGCATCCATTTAAGCAATATTTAGTTCCTTTGGTTGGTAACTTGACCACAGGAGCTAAAGACAACACGTCCAAACTTAGATTATTAGAAATCTGGAGCTAAATGTTCTCTACCTTTGCTTTCTTGAACAAGTATATCCCAAGAAACAACGGAATATACAACTTTTTCTCGAGGCAACTATAACAATGTACGTCACTATAACAGCAAAACCAAAGTCCGATGCACATGATGTCACAAACCAGACGTTAAAACATGGACTTTAGCAGCATGTATGCAAGTATTCAATTTTCATATATAGAAAGGATTTTTAACACATCTGGCTACCAACAAGACATCAAGATCAAGTCCAGGATACACACTATAAGCTATAAAGATCAAGAAACTAGTCTGAGGAAGGACTTTTTCTCAGATAACAAACTTATGCAAAGGGAAAGCTGTAGAAACTACGGGTGGAGAGTTTGCTAACCTTAAGGTTGAGAGCAGTGAAAGGGAGCATGAGCTTCCTCAAATCCATCTGCAGCTGCTTCATGGGGCCAGGCAATTTCCCTCTTGAAAACACAAAACTCTTTGGAATCTTATCCCCAGTCACATGATCAACCTTTTGTTGGTTTTTCTTCACAATGGGCTTCACAGAGACCCTTTTGTTCTGCTTCTTCTGTATCAAACCGAGTGTTAAGCAGTAATCGAGACCGGCGAATATACGATGTTTGAGCTAAGGATTGGGTGCAAACAAAGCTTTTACTGGAAAGGAATTGAGGCAGGGACAGGAAACAGTTTCTCACTTACGTTTCTGAAGCGAGCCATTCTAACACAGATGAGCCAACCAGAAGGGAGGCTTCAAACTTTACGGGAAGAGACGAAAATGGTTCCTGAAAAACCAAAAAGATCAAACATCCATGGACAATCAGCATAGAACCAAAGAAAACACACGCATACCCCGAATAAGCCGAACTTAACAGATGGTTTAAACACTAAATCGCAAAACCCTAACCCTAACTCTCAAAACTCGGGATAACCAAACTGCTCAGTAACATTGTTCTTCCTACAAACTCGGCAATCAATCGAAAATACAGACGAAGATTCAAAAAAATAAAAAACTCTGCGTGAGTGAAGCCGAAGAAGAAGAAATCGTGAAAACGAAGAACCCACCGGCAAAGCGTGACGGCGGCCAATTTGGAGGAGGGAACGAGGTTTTAGCACCATATATATCAATTACCGGTTCAGGGCCGGTTTACATCTTAGTCCGGTTCACGCTATATTTATCGGTTCGTTTTTTTTGTTTTAAATCAAGACACGTTATTGGTTTATTATTTATTTATTCATGGTCCTGAGCGAAAGGTAGCGTCCTTTTTCCGAGAATAATAAAGAAAACGAGGCGTTGGCCGTATCGGGTCTCTCTCCTCAGCGAAGATTTTCCGATAATTTTTTTTAAAAGGTAATGTTTTCCTTCTTCTTTTTTAGCAGAAGAGGGTTTCTTCGAAATTAGATATGCAGTGTGTTTGATGGATCATTGCCATAATCATGATCATTGATTTTCGTTCTGGGCCAAATCAACCGAAAGAGTTGAAGCTTTGAGTTCTATAATCATGGTGGTGGAGTATCTATCTATTCAATGCTTTATTTTATTCTTCTTTCCTCTGCGATGAACTCGAGGTCTTTGATCAACGGCACAGTGGGGGGTTTTTTCTTCTGTTTCGCCAGATTTGAAGAACCCTGATCTGATTTCGTATCTTCTCGATGGATGGAAACTTTTTTTTTGTTGATCCGTTCTCGATTTAGATTTGGGTTTGCGCTTGTTGATCTGTATTTTCGAGTGAAATCATTGTTGGTTCATATTATATTTTGATTCCTTAATGCTGTCAGGTTTTTTTATCAAGCGCTTGAAAACATGCTCAAGGTTCCTGAGCATCAGGTTGCGGGGCATGAGGCTCGAGCCGGGGGGCTCGGACCGCTCATAGATGATGAGGGTCGGTTCTACAAGCCACTTCAAGGCGATGCTCGTGGTGAGAAAGAGGTCAAGTTCTACCAGTCCTTCTGGACCAACAAGAAGGTTCCAGGTCACATCCGTAGATTCTTCCCAATGTGCCATGGCACTGAGCTCGTCGAGGCCTCCGATGGAACCGGCCTGCGTCCGCACCTCGTGTTGCAAGATGTTGTTAAAGGGTACTCTAAGCCGTCGGTGATGGATGTTAAGATCGGTTCCAGGACATGGTACCCGGATGTGTCTGAAGAATACATCCGGAAATGCATAAGGAAGGATACATCCACGACTTCTGTGTTATTAGGGTTTAGGATTTCTGGTATGAGGGGATACGATCACAAAGCTTTGGATTTTTGGAGGCCTGACAAGAAGGTTGTTCTCGGGTTCTCTGTTGATGCTGCTAGACTGGCTCTGAGGAAGTTTGTTTCGTCGAACTCAGCTGCTAAATGTGACCCAAAACCCGATTGTGCTTTGGCATCGAGGGTTTATGGCGGTTCAGACGGGATCTTGGCCCAACTGCTGAAGCTCAAGGCCTGGTTCGAGGATCAAACGCTCTACCATTTCAATTCTTGTTCGATTCTCTTGGTCTATGAGAATGAATCGATCCTGGATGGAGGTGATCCACGGGCGCAAGTTAAGCTTGTGGATTTTGCACATGTTCTTGAAGACAATGGTGTCATCGACCACAACTTCTTGGGTGGACTCTGCTCTTTTATAAAGTGCATCCGTGATATTCTTGAGAGCTCAGACGATTGCTCCGAAACTGAAACCCCTTGTCTCGAAAACGGACACTAGAGAGTTTTTTATACTCTGTTTGAATAATCCCCAGTTTCCTGTTTTTGGTGTTTCCGACAAAAAACGTTGTCCTGATCTTCAGTTTACTTCTGTTTGAGGAAATGTCGAAATGTTTTGCAGAGTTCAGTGCCAACCTCTGCTACATTGGCAGGTCACTTGAACTTCTGTTCTTTCTTCTTCAAAAATGGAATCGGATCCCAGTGATATAGAGCTTCTTGACTAATTTCTTGTAAGCAGTTATCGACTTGCTTCTCCAGGTTGTGCCCGAAGGTCCTACCGCGAGTAGTAGCCATTGGAGCCCTTTCCTTTCCTCTAAGGGTAAGGAATTGAAATTTTCAAGCAAAATGAAATCGGGGAATAAGAAGTAGTGTTACCATCAGGATGTAGAAACAGTAGACGCTCGATCTTTCGCTGAAGCAATTTTGTCGAAAAGCAGTAGTGAACTCCAAGCCACAGAGAAATCACAAGTTTCATCAACTTGGGGAAGAGAGAAGCGATGATGAAGTTCATCGTGATTTTTCTTTTTTGCGTTATCTTCTCTGTTCGTGTAGATTCAGGAAACCTGCAGGACACTTGCCTTGACGGCCCGGGACAACAATGTATCTTCATCTATGGCTATCCTTAACCCTTTGCAGGAACCCGACAAAGAACAGACCTAGAAATAGACGGATCCATTCCTCCTCATTCCACCCGAGATCCTCAGAGATACTTTTCATGTACAGCGGAGTTGTACTCATTGGGTCCACCAACATTCAGAACAAGATCTTCCAGAAGGTTCGGAAGCAAGGAGACGTCTTCGTTTTCCCAAAGTGTCTCCCCACAATTACTGCTTGAACTCGGGCTTTGAGCGTGCCAACGTGTTATCGTTTCTCAATAGCCAGAACCTGGGCGTCATGACTCATGAGAATCACACACGCCCTCGGGATCGATCAAGAACATGACACGGTTAGCTTCACTGAAACCCTAAATATTTGTAGACCTACAGGGACAGAAATGAAAATCAGAACCGACCTCTCCAGGATTCTCGTACTCTGATCCATCAAACCAATCGGACGACAACATGCTGTGAACTGTGACAGATTCGTAGTGGGAATCGAGCGAGATTTCTACAAACAGTTGTCCGTCCATCGTTCATTTGTTCTTCGTCGTATTTCCAGCGATCGCTGAGGCAGCACCGTCGAAAGGAATCTGTCTGCCGTGGAATCTCGCTTATCCATTTCATCTTCCGATTCCAATTCTCCCTCTTCGTCTACCTCTGTTTTAGTGAATACACAGAGGACAACAACGATGATAAGAAGAGCTGATCAGAGAGAAGAACATCTGAATAAGGAAATTGCAGAGACTCGAAAAAGAGGCCATGGAGTTCGAATGACTACCGCTGATTCAATCAAACATATGAACCATGAAACGAAACTTGAAGATCTTTCCCTGAAATTGCAATTTAGGGTTTGCAATTGTTAGGGATCCCGCGCTAAACAGTTTAAATTTTCTGAACCGAAGATAGAATGAGGAATACCGTATCCAGGTCAAGGATACTTGTATCCTGGAACCCAAACATAAATGCAATGACAAACAAATTTGTTTAGTATGAACTGATAACTGAAGATGAAATGGGGAATACAGTATCCAGTTCAAGGGCACTTATATCCTGCCATCCAAACAAAAATCGACAGAACCCCGCCAGGATTGACCCTCAGTTTGAGAGGGAAAATTAAGTAACGGAAGGGTTCAACCGAGACAGGCAATATCGATTTGGGGAAAAGGGTTTTGCTTTTTCAGTGTTTTCCCTTCCGGGTTCAATACCCTAATTTTTTTCATCTATTTCCTTGATTTTCCTATTCCGATCATTTTTTATAAAACACTTACTTCTTTTTTGGTGTTGATTCTCTTTTTCATTCGTGATTCTTGTCTTATGCAAGACCCAGGCTTCAATTCCGCAGGTAGAAGTCAGAAGAGAAGAAGAGTGTTCGGGAAAGTTTTGATTCGTATTCGCAATTTTGGTACACCTTTGATTTCTGGGTCTTCGGGCTTGCCCTTGGAGTCGGTTCTTATCGAACCAGACCGACCGTACACAATCGGCCGAAGTGATAGGTTATGTGATTTCGTCTTCAGACATGGAACCATCAGTAGAAAACATTGTCAGATTCTATTTGATAGCCAAAGTCGTAAACTTTACATTTCGGATGGCGTCATTACCTTGACTTCTGCTAGTTTTAGTTCTAGTGTTGATGAGTTTAGAAGAAGATTGATCGGCGTCGATGAACTGGAGAAAGGAGATGAGGATTTGGGAAGTTTGGAAAGTAGGGTTTCTTTGAATGGGGTCTATGTTAATCGTGTTAGGGTTAGGAAGGACACGGTTCAGGAACTTTGGACTGGCGATGAGGTTTTGTTTGTCTGTGGAAACGAAGGATTGTGCCTTAAACAGTTTCGAGTTGGATTTGTGGTTCAAGAGATTGTTTTTGGAGAAAGAGATGCTTCGATTTCGGAAGATAGGTGTCGCATGGTTTTGGCATCAGCCTCCTCAGGGCATTCTCGAGGAACTTTTTCCAGTGGGAAGAGAAGTAAAAGGGTTTTCGCTTTGAAGGAAGACGGAATCAATTCTCCAGTTTCTGGGGTTTCTACACTGAAACATGTGGGCGATCTTACAAGGGTGAATTCTCTTCTAAGCTATTGTAGGCATATACTGGATAGTGATAATCCTGTATCTTGCCTTAGGCTATGTGTTATGTCAGATCCCAGAAAGGAAGAATGCCAATCCTGTTGTGCAACCAAATTATTAGGATCAAAAGTAGGTTTGGCAGCAAAAAATAGTGAGAAATGTGTTGAGGTTTCCGAGAAGGAGCAAGGTTTATGTGATTTAAGGGTGAGTGATGAATGCTCAAACCAACTGTCGGGTACAACACCAGAAGCTTCAAACTTGATTGGTAAAGTAGAAAAATTCATAGTCCCTCGTGTTGCTATCAGTGATAAGGCTAGGGCTACTTTTCCCAATAATGGGGAAAAGGGAAATGCTCGTTCTGTTGATTGTGCCGACAAGGATAAAAGTCACCAATGTTCCCCGCCATCATCTGGGAAGAACTTTTTTCTAAACCGCCTTCAGTGTAATGGACAGAAATTTCCGGGTTGTCAACGGGTTGTTTCCTTGCCAGAACTTTTTCACCCTGTGGAAAACATTTCTCAAATCTTCATTGCAACATTTACAAGTGATATCTTATGGTACGTTAAAATAACTCTCCTTTTCTATATTGTCTATTATCCTAGGGAGGTGAAAATGATAATTATATCCTCATTTGTTACCTGTGTTTGTTCAAGAGTCTTAACAAATTTGTATCGCTAGGTTTCTGTCTTTCTGTGAGATACCTAGCCATATGCCCGTGACTATTGCATGTCATAACGCTGAGAGATGTTGGAAGTCGAGCCTTGATGCAAGAGTATCTGCTCCTTGCCCAGATTACCCAAATTTATCTGTAGTGTACGTGTAGCACTTTACAATACTTCTGTTAAACTGAACTTCTGCACGGTTGTTTCTTTGATTTCGATAGATGACTATTTCGTTATTATTTTTTTTCTAATGAGTCTTTGTACTGTCTTAGATTTCCTCCATTTCCTGAAGAAATTGCATTTGGGGGAGATCGCAAGAAGCACGGCATTGCTTGCCATCATCCTAAGTTGTTTATTTTGCAAAGAGTAGATAGCATTCGTGTAGTTGTTACATCTGCAAACCTAGTAGCAAGACAGGTAACTTGAATCTCTTTCAACAAATGTCCACTTAGACAAGCTAGTTATTAGTCAAGGGTATATTGGTATGTGTCATGAGCCGAAGGTGTAGGCTGTGAGGTTTTAGACATATCCAGAGAGCTTTATAATTCTAATTTTGTAATGATTATTTGTTATTCCAGTGGAATGACGTGACCAACACAATTTGGTGGCAAGATTTTCCTCGAAGAAAAAATCCTGTTTATTTATCCCTTTTTGGCCAGCATGAAGGAGATGTAAGTTCTGGTTTAAGCTCAGATTTTGGTGCTCAACTGGCTGGCTTTGTCGCGTCACTTTTGGCTGATGTTCCAAGTCAGGCCCACTGGATCATCGAGTTCACAAAGTACGACTTTGAAGGGGCAGCAGGTCATCTTGTGGCTTCAGTGCCCGGAATTCATTCTTATAGGCCATCTCATCTGACAGACTCTTTTTGCCTGCATCCGGTGAGTAATTCAGTCTTCCATGTTTGCAGTTTCATATGCCAACTGTTTGTTGATTTCTTGAAACTGTGTATTACAATTCATGATTGAAATAGTTGAGTTTCAAATTTTTCTGTTAGTTTTGGTTGTCTCCTGTGTATGGGAATTGTTAATTGATGCATCCCTTTCTTGCCAGGCCAGTCATATTTCACAGTCATACGATGAAGACTTTCTGGGATCTGTTGAAACATCCGTAGTTGGTCTCAGTTACCTTTTCCGTGCTGCCACAGATTCGATGGGGGCACAACTAAAAAGACTGGCTTCTTATCTCAGTAGAAGTCGAGAAAATTCTCTCGGAATGCTTGAACTTGTTTTGAGAAGAAACACTAATGTGCCTGCTGATGCAAATGCTGTTGGTATTCTTGTTCCCAATCCCGATGATAACTCCAAAGATGGTAAAGATCTTATCTGCTTGGCTCCTAGAGACTTGCATGTATTGAAATGGTTGAACTTGGACCTTAAGAAGAAGATTTATAGTTTTTTTTTTAAACTGGAATTGAATGCTTTTGACATGAGTTCACATGTTCTGTCTGTTCCATGAATTGCCTTGTGCCAGATTGTGTCCAGTTAGGCTTTCTGCCAAAGAATGTTGCAAAATGGGTTTCTCCTTTGTGGGATATTGGATTCTTTAGATTTGTGGGCTACGTATATCGCGATGAAGTCCTTGGAGCGGCTTCTCGTAGGAGCAACCAGAAGGTGCAACTAACGTTGCATGTATTACAGGCACGGTGTTTCTTCAATTGTTTGTGAGATTCTTTGCATTAATAATAGACTATGGAAACTTAAAAGCAGCTGGAGATAATTGATTATCGCTTCTAACTTTCCAGGGGGTGTCCTTTTCAGACATGTCAAAACTGATTCAACCACTTCATGCAGTGGCATTATGCTCTCTGATCGCTTCACTTCAGCGATGTATCGGTATGTGGAGGCTGCAAGAGGTTGGTAATCCTTTCATGGTGACACTTTAAAACATCTTTTATATCTCTGTCTTGTGTTTGAATTCATCTATTTATTATCTAATTATGTTCTCTGTGTTGATTTTTCACATAGATTGTAGGACGGTACAAGTGGCCTGAATCCCAAGAATCTGACTTCACCTACAGTGAGTGTTTGCAATGCTTTCGCTGGTAATACATCGGGATGCTCCGTTTACATCTGTTCTCTGTGATAGGTTCATCCTCCATTGGTGGCTCAGTGAATGCAGAATTTCTAGCTGCATTTTCATCAGCTGCTGGGAAAAAGGCCCTGCAGAATTTAGACTCCCAAGAGTCTGACCCAGGGGTACTGTTTTGTTATTACAAAGCATACCGAGAAGTTATTATCTCATTTTCTATGTGCACGGAAATAAATTGGCCCGTCTTCTTGATCAGTGGGGCTGCTGGACTGCTAGTGAAGAACGGAAAGCTCCCTCTATTAGAGTTTGCTTTCCAACCATTGATAGAGTCAAGAGCTCTCATGAAGGTGTCATATCCTCAAAGCGTCTACTTTGTTTTTCTGAGGTAGCATATGTATATATATATATATAGCTTTACACACAAAAGAAAGTTCCTGATTGTGAAAACTTGAAATCAATCATTTGAAAGGATGGTCTGACTAAGTTTCATGAACCTTTTTCCCCTGGTTTTGATTCTGATGAGGTGATAAATAACTCGGTTTCTTTCACTTGCCCACATACTGCAATGTGCAGAAAACCTGGCAGAGGTTGAGGCACGACAACATTCTTCATGATGCAGTTCCCAATCCTCATGATAGAATTGGGTACCCTATGCATATCAAGGTGAGAGAGTAACATCTACATCAGAGAAAACCATCACAGTTAAAAAAGATGAAATCTTTACACTGTTCCTCATCTGGTTTCAACTGGTAATGTCATAATCATCAACAGGTGGCTAGAAGGCGTTTCACCTCCAGGACGAATTCTTCGTCTTCCTTTGGTTGGGTTTACTGTGGCTCACATAACTTTAGCGCAGCTGCTTGGGGACAGACCATACACAGATCATCGAGGAGCAAGGAGGATGAATCCTACAACGGTGTCAGATCTTCTTCTTCAGGGTTGATTAAGCTTCGTGTCTGCAACTACGAACTCGGGATTGTCTTCGTTTTCCCGCCACCCCATGATGAAGAAACGGGCTCGAGCCACAAGAACAGCGAAAGGTCTGAGCTTGATGACATCGTGTTGCCTTTTGCGGTCCCGCCTCCGAAATATGGGCCTAGTGACAAGCCGGCGACTGGTTTGGCTATGAGGGAAGCTCTGGCTGAGGTTATGGAAGGTTCTAGAAGTTTCGATGGCGCAGTTGAAGCGATGAAGGAAGAAGAGGTGGCTGAGGAAGAAGAAGAAGAAGCCGGAGAAAGAGGAGAGTGTGTTATTATAGAGGAGAAGGAAGAGGAAAAGACTTATGCCGAGACACTGTGGAGGAGCCATGTCGATTCGTCACTGAGCTGCTGAAAACTAGGTCATTTGGGGAACAAGGTTGCTTGCGTCTCAAGCAACGAGAATGCCTTTCCTTCTCTAGAACCTGTATGTATCGATGTGTATATTCATTGGGTGGGTGGGGTCACATCTCGCTTGTGTGTATATGCAAATTATCATTTGCTCATGCATTGTATTTCGGATACTTGGAAAGAACATATACGTGTGAAAGAAACGAGAGACGTTGTATCCATAAGTAGAATTTTTATTAGAAACAAAATTTCATAAGCTTCTACTCCTTCAACATGGAGAGAGAGAGCTTCATATACTCAATTTGCCATACCAGAGGAAACCAAAAAAAAGAACTGGAAAAACCGACCATTACAGGCCTCTTTTTTTGTACAATTTCTTGTAATAATTTTTATGTGGAGGTGTTTTTTCTATAAAAAAAAAAAAAGAATTGGATTAGAAGGCACGAGGAGGGAGGAGCCACTTGGAACCTTGGATGTAACCAAGTGTCAGGAAACGACGAGCTTCTGTTGCGTCCAAGTCCTGAGTGTACGGCACTCTCTTGTGCTTCAGTGACCCTGGTCCATAGCACTTGTACTCCCCGTAGAACACCGTCCTATACATACACGCATATACATATATAAAACGTGTGTATATATATACATAGGGGGAGGTATAGATAAGTAGTACGTACTTGTCGCGAGAGATGTCGGGGTTATGGTGCCAACCAGATGGGTTGACGACACTTGTCATCTCGGTATAGGCGTAGACAACCTTAGGGTGAGTCATCCAAGCCCGACCCAAGTAGATTCCTTCCCCAGTTCCCGTCACTCTGCAGTGTACGAACGAGTACCCGCTCTGGTCCGCCGTGCTCTTCCCCGCCTGCGCTGTTATCACTCTTATCCCATCCCCCACCACGTGCAGCTGCGTCCTCTGCGTTCATTTTCAGACAAAACCGTGATGAGATTCATTCATTCATACACATGTATATAACACATATATAGAGAGAGTACCAGGTAGAGGGAGGTTCCGCTGCCGAAGATGAAATCGAAGGTTCCTTCGATGTAACAGTCTTTGAAGAAATGGCTTCCGGTGTCGTCGCAGACGGTGTCTTGGTATCCGTAGAACTTGCAGTTGTAGAACGCCGCTTTGTTTCCCGATATCCTCATCGCCAGCGCCTGCGCTCCCTTCGTCTTCCCGTCCGGCGCCGGTGCCGTGTTCTTGACGATGACGTTGATGGCCATGAAGTAATCGGAGAGGACGATGAGGGTGGCGCTGTCGACGGTGCCGTACTTGGCGGCGGTGCCGTCGAAGGTGATGACGGGCATGGACTTGGGGTTTCCGAGCAGCGTGATGAAGGGTTTGTTCCTATCGATCGTCACCTTCTCTCTGTATTCTCCGGGTCCCATTCTTATGATCACTCTCCTGCTGTTCCCCGCCGGTATGCTCCTCAACGCTTCCGTCAGCGTGCGGAACTGACCTCCCCCCTTATTTACCTGCACCCATTTTTGTTTATTTAATTTTCCTATATGTATATATATATATATATATATATTAGTTTCTAGAAACAAAATTTTTTAAAAAGTTAGGGTTTGCCATTTTGGTTGTATCATCCAAATTGAATAACCATGTCCTAATCGAGTTTTATATAAAAATTATACAGATATAATTTTTTTAAAATCGAAAAAATGAAATTTAAATGGGATATAAAAGAAAGGCTAAAAATCGATTTTTTAAATAATGAATAGCTTTATCAATAAAAAATAAATTGAATGTAAAAATTGGATGATTTAGTTTTTCTAAAATAAATAAAAATAGATATATCTTATAAATTTTTTTAAAAAATAGTGTTATCCTTTTTTATTTTATCTAATTAAAAAAATACATAATTATATCCGAACCCAATTCTATACTAAAATCATATAGTTATGGTTTTTCCAAATAAGAATTTTTTTCTCAATAAAATGTAAATATAAGAATGTATGATTTCAGATTTTTTTTTAAAAAAAATGGATCCGAAATGGCCATTCATCCTTCTCCTGATAAAAACGTGAAGAGGGGCAAAAGAGTCTTTTTCATACGGTGATGACAAGTGGCTTGGCCTCGGCCGCCTCGAGCGCCGGGTCCAGCGTGCCCTTCCTTTGGCTCAGTGCCTTGACGTTGGTGGCGAACCACTGATCCACCTGGCCTCTAGCCTCCGGAATCGGCGTCGCGTCGCTGGCCAAAACCACCGCCCATGACGTCATGGCCACCTTTTTTATTTTATCTAATTAAAAAAATACATAATTATATCCGAACCCAATTCTATACTAAAATCATATAGTTATGGTTTTTCCAAATAAGAATTTTTTTCTCAATAAAATGTAAATATAAGAATGTATGATTTCAGATTTTTTTTTAAAAAAAATGGATCCGAAATGGCCATTCATCCTTCTCCTGATAAAAACGTGAAGAGGGGCAAAAGAGTCTTTTTCATACGGTGATGACAAGTGGCTTGGCCTCGGCCGCCTCGAGCGCCGGGTCCAGCGTGCCCTTCCTTTGGCTCAGTGCCTTGACGTTGGTGGCGAACCACTGATCCACCTGGCCTCTAGCCTCCGGAATCGGCGTCGCGTCGCTGGCCAAAACCACCGCCCATGACGTCATGGCCACGCCCCCCGCCACTAATGGCAACCATGTGAAGTGTGCCATTTATTTATTTTATTTATTTATTAAAATAAAAAAATATTTTATTCTTTTATTTGTTTTTGTTTTTATTTTTATTTTATTTTATTTTTAGGATGAAGTATGAAGCGTCATCTATCGGGGCTTTATATACTGTGCGTAGCCGGGAGATCTCCGTTCTATTTTCATTTACTATTTTTGGTTTGTGGTATATACATTTTTTAATTTCGTATTTTTTTTTACCGGTTTTTCTGGCTTTAGACAAGGCCTAGTTGACTTTTTCAACATTGTCGTGGTATGTTTATTATTTAATTTATAAGTTCATAATTTATCAGTCTCAAATGTGGTCATCTTCTTTACAATTATATATAATAAAAAAAACCTTAAAATACACAAATTATTCAGTGCAAACCATGAATCATTCAAGAACTAGGGTTTTAATTGCTCATAAACTCACGTTTAAGGATCAAGAGCACTGAGAGCTGCAGGTTTTTTCATTCCCTTAACCTCCATCTCTCTTCTCAGCTGAATGACCTCTTCCCATCTACCAAACGTTGCGTTTATGTTGGACATAAGAACATAACATCCAGAATGTTTCCGACATAGATTCCTCGCCGCCATGTTTCCCAGTCCTATATCGCCATGGATCCTGCAAGCTAAGAGCAAAGCTCCCCAAACACTATCATCCGGTTCAATTTCCATGCCCTTCACCAGATCGTGTGCTTCTCGTAAGAACCCTAATCTCCCGAGCATGTCGACAACACAAGCGTAGTGTCGGGAATCGCGGGTCACTGAGTGTTCTTCCATCTCTTCGAAGCATTTTCTGCCTTGGACGAACAGTCCTGCGTGGCTACAGGCGGAGAGCACAGACAGGAAGGTTATACGGTCGGGTTTTATGCCTTGTTCCTTCATCTTAGAGTAGAACTCGAGTGCTTTTTCTCCGTGTCCATGCATCCCGTGGCCTGAAATCATCGCGTTCCAAGATTTTACGTCACGTTGGCTCGGATGAATCTGTCTGAAAATGTCTCTGGCTGTCTCTAAATCTCCACATTTGGCGTACATCTCCATCAATGCATTACTAACATTCGTGTCGATCTTGATCTTGTTCTTGATTATAAGATCGTGCATTTTCCTCCCGAGTTGGCTGGAACGAAGATAAGTACAGGCAGACACAATAACCAGAGCTGTTACTGAACCCGGCTTGCATTCAGAAGCCAACATCTCATTGAAGAGTGTAAAAGCTTCACAAGCTAACCCGTTTTGGACATAACCCGAAAGCATCGAGTTCCACGAGATAATGTCTTTTCTATCCATCTGATCAAACACGAGGCGTGCTTCTTCAGTCTGTCCACATTTAGCATACATAGCTATCAACGAGTTCCCGACAGAAGCATCCTTGACGAAACCACTTGAAACGGCGTAAGCGTGTACAGATTTTGCACGGGAAGAACCTCCCACCTGTGCAATAGCAGAGACAACACTGATTAACGTCACAGAATCTGCAAAAACCCTATTTCGTTGCATCATCAAGAACAACCCAATAGATTCTCTCGGCTGAGAGGTTTGTTCATACGCAGTGATCATACTTGTCCAGCAAACTGAGTCCTTTAACCTCATTTCATCGAAAATTCTTCGAGCTTCACCCGTTTCGCCGCATTTTGCGTACATGTCTACCATGGCAGCTTGAAGATACCAATCAGAAACAAACCCATGTTTCATGGCACTTCCATGGATACCTTGAGCCAAAACTACGCTCCTCAACTGCGCAACAGCTGAGGCGACATTCACCATTATTACAGAATCTGCATCGACATTGTTCTGCTTCATCTCCTGGTACAACGCAAGTGCTGATTCTGGCCGTTTCGCGTTTTTATAGGCAAACATCATCTGACTCCAACAAAACCGGTCTCTAACACGCATTTCGTCGAACACTTTGCGTGTATCGTCGATTTGGCCACATCTTGCGTACATATCCATCAGGGAAAACTGAAAACAGTAACTTGAATCCAACCCAGTTCCAACCGCTCTACCTTCTCTAACCAATGAATTCAAAGCACATTCCTTGAGAACGTCGCGACAAAGGAAGTCATCCATCAATTCACCCCCCCGCCCGCCATTGATGCGTGCCCTAATCATCGCGCTCCCGTCCATGCATCGCCTTCCCTCATCCCTATTCCGATATACAGCCACAGACCAGTGCGTTTTTTCTTGACTTCTTTTATTTTTGTCAAATTTAACTTGTTAGATGAGTTTTCGGTGAAATTTAGGTACCGTGATTTGTTGAACGCAAAATGTTCGAGCTTTCAATGGAGAGACGAAGAGCAGTCATGTAGCCAGAGTTGCGGAGGAAAGAATCAAAAAAGCCATAGCCAATGAACCAAAGACGCGCGCGAAAATCCGAGGACAATAAAGGGATTTCCCGACATAACTCGAGGATGCCGCGATGAGTGAGGAACGACGTCGTGAGATTATTTTAATTTTAAATTTATCTGCTACTGATATTTAAATTTAACGGGTTTTTTTTCACATTTAAATTTAACGGTTTACAGCTAAAAATATATATATATATCTACCCAAAAGAAAATTAAATGGATGAGCAAAGCCGAAACCCTAATTAAGTTGTGATTAGGAAGTAATTTGTTTACACACACACCTCATCATCATCACTGTCCGGAGGCAAATTAACTGATTAATAATTTAAAATTAATTGGTGTGGAAAACTCAAAATAGCGAAAATTAAATGTAACCCAAAAGAATATGAAACGGAATGATTAAAAAGGAATATAAACCACAAAACAAGAATAGGAAAACGCTCGTGCAACAGATATGTTCTCCTTCGCTCTGCCTTAACCCCCAACACATGCATGAAACAGTATATATACACGCATTATCCAGTGACATCGAAAGCAAACTACAAAAAAAAAAAATATATTGTTTTCCTTTTTCGATTGAAATTTAAAGAAAAAGAAAAAAAAAGGAAATAAAATATGGCGAAAATGCATTTGAAGCTAGTAGCAGTGCTCGTGGTTTTGGCCTCACCGGCGGTTCTAGCCGGCGATTCGACGCCGATTCCGGAGGACAGAGCAGAAGTGGAGGAATGGTTCAAGGCCAACGTCGCACCGTTGGCTCACAGAAATGCCACGTTGGATCCCGCCCTCGTCGCCGCCGAGGCTGCTCCACGTGTCATCACGGTGCCGATACACATATATATATATATATATGTATACGTATATATATACATGCGTGATCGAGAATGTAATGATTTGTGAACAATGGTTTTGACAGGTGAGTAAGAATGGAGACGGCGATTTCAAGACGTTGAAGGCGGCGATAAAAAGCATTCCGAAAGGGAACCAAGAGCGAGTGATAATCAAGATGGGTCCCGGAGAATACAGAGAGAAGGTTACGATCGACCGGAACAAACCTTTCATCACGTTGTACGGACGACCTGATGCCATGCCCGTTTTGACGTACCACGGAACAGCCGCCAAGTACGGAACCGTAGACAGTGCTTCGCTTATCGTCCTGTCTGATTACTTCATGGCCGTCAATATCATCCTCAAGGTATCTCTCTCTCTCTCTATATATATATATATATAATAGTTTTTGTTCGTGGGAAATGGAACTAATGCATGGATTTCGGTATATATATTATCGTGTATGTGTGTGTGTATATATATATATATATATAGAATTCAGCTCCGATGCCAGATGGAAAGATGAAAGGGGCACAAGCTTTGGCAATGAGGATATCTGGAAACAAAGCAGCATTCTACAACTGCGAATTCCACGGTTTCCAAGACACACTCTGTGACGATATTGGATACCATTTCTTCAAAGACTGTTACATCGAAGGAACGTTCGATTTCATCTTCGGAAGTGGAACTTCTATATACCTGGTATATACATACATATATATGTATATATATACACATTTCAATCTTGATTTCTTCATTCGTCTCTTCTACAGATCAATACATACATTGTTTTATGAATACGTATGCGCGTAACGTTGTGGCAGAACACACAGCTGAACGTTGTGGGAAATGGGATGAGAGTGATTACGGCACAAGCCGGCAAGACCATAGCCGACCCGAGTGGATACTCGTTCGTACACTGTAGAGTGACCGGGACAGGATCCGAAATCTACTTGGGTCGGGCCTGGATGTCTCATCCGAAGGTCGTTTATGCTTATACCGAGATGACAAGTGCCCTTAACCCGACCGGTTGGCAACTGAACAGCGAGCCGGACCGTGACAGGTACATATATATATGTCCTAGTATAACTAGTATGCGTGTATTTGTACGTACGAATATACGATGACGTTTTCTTTTTTGGGATTGAGCAGTAGTGTGTATTACGGAGAATACAAGTGTTACGGACCAGGATCTAACACTGAGGAGCGCGTGGCTTCCACGCGGAGCTTGGACTCGAACGAGGCCGCTCGTTTCTTGACGCTTGGTTACATTCAGGGTTCTAAGTGGCTGCTCCCTCCTCCTGCTCTATAACATCACACACAATAATATATTAATTATTCGGATGATGTTTTAGCATGCACTTTGATTATATGTCTAATTTCAATGTATGTATGTATGTATGTATGTATGTATGTATGTATGTATGTATGTATGTATGTATGTATGTATGTCTATTGGCAATATATATCTCCAGATATATATTGATATATTCAGTTGTATATACGTTTAGATTTGACGCTATCTCTTCCTATTTTAGCTAGAGTTGGTTGTTACGTTTTGTACATAAATAGATGTTCGAGCATATGAAATACACATCAGAGAAAGACTTTTCTGAAACATCTCTTTTATATCATGGTATCAGAGCCCTACCAATTCTGATTTCGTGTTCTTCCACCGACATTCATGTCTACCACCTCAACCTCACCGACGTCTGCCGATCTGACGGTGTCCTCGACTCCGACACCCGCGACTTCTGAGGCTCTGAGGAGAACAATTTCTCCTTATGATCTGAGTCCCAGCGATAACCCCGGATTGGTTCTCTCGCATCCGTTGTTTTGTCGTTCGCATAGTGATTTTTCGGTTGATTCTTGTGATATTTGTTTTCGAGCCAAACAGACTCGTTCTTCGTTTCCATTGAGTTCAAATAAAGCAAGCGAGATTTTTCAGCTAGTACATTGCGATTTATGGGGCCCTTATCGCACACCGGCACATTGCGGTGCTAAATATTTTCTCACCATTGTTGACGACTACTCGCGCGGTGTTTGGCTCTACCTCTTGTCTGATAAGAGCCAGGTTTCACGTCATCTTATTGAGTTCATGGCAATGGTTGATCGACAGTTCAATACGAGAGTTCGTGCAGTTCGTTCTGACAACGGAACCGAGTTTACTTGCATGCGTGACTATTTCTGCAGCCATGGGATAGTGCATGAGACTTCTTGTGTGGATACCCCACAACAAAATGGACGCGCTGAACGGAAGCATCGTCATATTCTGAACGTGGCTCGGGCACTTCTTTTTCAGGGTTGTTTTCCGATCGAGTTTTGGGGAGACTGTGTGCTGACCGCCGGGTTCCTTATCAATCGGACTCCTTCTTCTGTTCTGTCCGGGCGAACGCCGTTCGAAATTATCCATGGGCGCAAACCAGATTATTCTCACCTTCGCACATTGGGTTGTTTATGCTATGCTCACAACAAAGATCATAAAGGCGACAAGTATTCTTCTCGAAGCATTCGCTGCGCGTTTGTCGGTTACCCGTTTGGCAAGAAAGGATGGCGTCTATATGACCTGGAGAAGAAACGTTTTTTTATTTCACGTGACGTCGCCTTCTGCGAGCAACGAACAGTGGCAAACATTGGTCTCGCTCCTCAATGCCGGAAAAATCGGAGCTACGGAGACTATTTCTGGTATGTGCTCTAATGTCCCTTGGATACTCGACACTGGTGCCTCTCACCACATGACCGGATGTCCTGAGTTGTTGACGAACTTGTCTCCGATGACATCGTCGAGCATCATTCTTCCTGATGGCCGACAATCGTTCGCTTCTCAGTCCGGCTCCGTATTTTTGACAGCGCATCTTCATTTGTCGAATGTGTATCTCGTCGAGGGATTACATGTTAATCTCATCTCCGTCTCTCAACTATTGGACGATCGTGATTGTATAATACAGTTCACTAACCGAATGTGTGTTATTCAGGACCTACGTACGAGGACGCTGATTGGAGCGGGTGAACTCCGAGACGGGCTCTACTTTTTCCGCGGCGTTGACACTGTGGCGGCCGTTGGTTCTTGTGACAAAGTTCCTTTAGACGTGTGGCATCAGCGGTTAGGCCATCCTTCGTTCAAGATAGTAGAGCAAGTTGTCGGAGATGATTGTCGTTCGTATAGTGATTTTTCGGTTGATTCTTGTGATATTTGTTTTCGAGCCAAACAGACTCGTTCTTCGTTTCCATTGAGTTCAAATAAAGCAAGCGAGATTTTTCAGCTAGTACATTGCGATTTATGGGGCCCTTATCGCACACCGGCACATTGCGGTGCTAAATATTTTCTCACCATTGTTGACGACTACTCGCGCGGTGTTTGGCTCAACGAAGGATGGCCTAACCGCTGATGCCACACGTCTAAAGGAACTTTGTCACAAGAACCAACGGCCGCCACAGTGTCAACGCCGCGGAAAAAGTAGAGCCCGTCTCGGAGTTCACCCGCTCCAATCAGCGTCCTCGTACGTAGGTCCTGAATAACACACATTCGGTTAGTGAACTGTATTATACAATCACGATCGTCCAATAGTTGAGAGACGGAGATGAGATTAACATGTAATCCCTCGACGAGATACACATTCGACAAATGAGAGTTTTGGGGAGACTGTGTGCTGACCGCCGGGTTCCTTATCAATCGGACTCCTTCTTCTGTTCTGTCCGGGCGAACGCCGTTCGAAATTATCCATGGGCGCAAACCAGATTATTCTCACCTTCGCACATTGGGTTGTTTATGCTATGCTCACAACAAAGATCATAAAGGCGACAAGTATTCTTCTCGAAGCATTCGCTGCGCGTTTGTCGGTTACCCGTTTGGCAAGAAAGGATGGCGTCTATATGACCTGGAGAAGAAACGTTTTTTTATTTCACGTGACGTCGCCTTCTGCGAAGACCGATTCCCCTTCGCTGACCCTGTTCCTCTCCAGCAATCCTCCTCGGAAAATCCTGCTCCGGTTTCGTGGCCTGTGTTACTTGAGGAGGACGATATCCCACCTCGCTTGACATCGTTTGCACCATCATCTGTTGATCCCTCTTCTACTTCTTCTTCGGCAGATTCCGCGACCAAGCATTCTGATACACCGGCAAATACTCTCCCAGTCGAGGTTTCGAACGATAGGGGGGGCCGTTCCGTTGTCTCCAATATCGCAAACCATGTTCCTGTAGACACAGACGACTTAGGCCGAGGGAAACGTGCCAAGTTCCCTTCCACACGTCTTAAGGACCATGTCACAAACACCGTTCGTGTCGTAAGCCCGTCTCCTAGCTCACTTGCACCACATAGCTCCTCAGGTACACCGTATCCAATCACACAATTTGTTACTTGTTCTAATTTCTCTTCGTCTCATCGCGCATTCTTAGCCGCTGTTTCGGAGGGTGTTGAACCACGTTCATACAAGGAGGCGAGTCGCGATCCTCGATGGAAGGCGGCCATGCAACGTGAGATTGACGCGTTGGTAAAGAACAAGACATGGACTATCGAACCCCTTCCGCCGGACAAGAAGGCTATCGGTTGTCAGTGGATATTTCGGATTAAATATTGAAGGATGTAATGCTCTAGGATGATCATACGATATGAGAACTATGTATGATATGATGTATTTATTGGATGAATACATTATTTATTCATTATTTATTTTGCATATTTGATAAATAATGATAATCCCTGGATCGTTACGAACGATCCTAAATTCCTTAGTCGTTTGTCATTGTGGGAACGATGATGAATTAAGACTAACATGAGGCGTAATCGATGATCATAATGATGATCATACGTATTGGATACGGATTACGGTCATGGGTACTTGTTTGGAACAAGTGACTGGATGACTCGCGTGAGATTGTCGTTTGGATTTATCCACTTTGGATCCTCAGACCTGAGATATCTATTGTATCCATCATGACGAGTAATGTACTTTGACTGCGTCAAACGTCGTCTTTAACCGGACGACTATAAAGACGGGGCTCGGGTACATTATGAATCATGTAATGGATAGTAGATAGTCAAGATGGAACTTTGTCCCTCTCGAAAGAGAGAGATATCGCTTGGGCCCGTCGTAGGAGTGGGACTGTGGAAATGTGTGGCCACACTATAGATGAATGTCATCTATCTCTAACAGTCTACTCGGGATACGACAAAGCATTCGAACTATGAGTTCGATTATGATATCGTGAGACAAAGAGGATCATCGTTTGAGCTATCTCTAGCTTTTCGGTTAGATCACATCTAACTCTTTCCGATGCGGGAAATCATAATGTCTTGCTAGAGACCGCTTATGATTTGTAAAGCGAGATTGGATCTCGTATTTACTGCCGTCTTCGGAGGAGCCTAAAGGGTCACACACATATGGGATGGACGTGTATGGACGGGATCACACGGACGGGAAAAATCGGATTTTTCTTGGTCTTTGAGGTCTGGTCCGGCGGACCAAGAGTTGGTCAGCCGGACCAGACGCACTTGGAATTTGTCCGAAAATGCACTGCCTGGTCCGGAGCTGACCAGAATTGGTCAGCCGGACCAGAGCAGTCAGACGGAGCGGGACGAGAGGTCGGAGTTCGGCTGGGGCGGCGGACCGAAATCTTGGTCCGCCGGACCGGCAAGTCAGGCGGACGTAGCTTGGCTGGTCCGGCGGACCAAGATTCTGGTCCGCCGGATCGCGGAAAACTTCGACTGTCGGCATAAGGCGTCTTGGTCCGGCTGACCAAGAGTTGGTCAGCCGCTGACCAAGACCATGACCGAACTTAAACCGCGTGTTTTATTCGTCTGGTCCGGCGGACCAAGTCCTGGTCCGGCGGACCGGACGTCTGAAAACACCAAATTGCGAAAATCTCGGCTTTTCTTGGTAGGTACGCGTGGGGAATGATTTGGATCATTCTTAACTCGACTCTTGACCTCCAGAAGAGCCAAGACTGCTCTGAAACTCTCCCAAACTCAAGAAATCGTTCTTGAGATCATACACAAGAGATTTGATCTCTTCAAGCTCTAGCAAGCAAGTTTCCAAGTGTTGGAAACCATCCCAAGGGTGTGGACTACTCAAGAGGGTGTTGGCTGCTTCAACACCTGGCTGTGATCTGCAACAACCTTCTGATTCGGAATCAAAAGGTTAGTTCAACTCTCCAAGAGGTTCTTCACCGAAACCTTGGTCCGTGGGCGGTTCAAAAACGTTTTGAACGCCAATTCCGCTGCGCAAGCCCGCGGACCAGATCCGAGACCGGTTGTGAACCGGTGCTTGAGGTCCTAGCACGACCCATCAAATATCGCTCGGACGGTTCGGTCGA